AAACACGCCATTAGGTATCTGAGAGGTCTGTGCACCAATCCGATACCACCTAATTTATTGGCCCCGATACAGGACTGTGTTACCTCCCAACAGTGTCCCTGTTCGCCATTTTTATCTCAGGATAGGATGGTGCTCACCATAATGCCGAACTCGAGGCTTCAGAACGGTTCTCTACTAACAGATGGGTGAGGATTTGTTCACACGTGATGCAAACTGACTGAAGCAACACAGACGCTCTGCATTGTAAACCATCTGACATGATGCTCCTCAGTCAAACCTTCGCATGCTGAGAACCACAGTCCAGTCTGGTGTTTGGCTTTACATCATCCCAACCTGCTGCTGCTTCACCTTCTTCATCAATACAAAGCACAGAATCCTAAATTCAGTTTATTCACTTCCACTAACAACAGACATTCAGTGCTTCATGCCTGAACACACACACACACACACACACACACAGTTTGTGTGTGACAACCAGCCTGCACGTGCTGTGAGAACCTGACAGGGGAGCAAAGGCCACACACACACACACACACACACACACACACACACACACACACACACACACACACACACACACACACACACACACACACACACACACACACACACACACACACACACACAGTGTCTTGCAGGCATGTTAGATGCAGAGATGGGAGGTGACTGGGTACCATCTGGGACTTACACAACCTCTCAGCCTCTCAGCCTCCATCCAAACACATTTTCTTCTGTTATGAGACGTTCAAAGACCGACTGGAAGAATACTAATAATTATTATAGTTGATATAATGGAGTTAAATAAAGCTGCAGCTGTATATTAACAAACTGACCCGCTGATTAAAACCTCTAAAAAACACTGAATAAAGCGAGCCGAGCTGCTGCTAACGTTAGCTCAGCTTGTTTCTCTGATAACTTAAGATCCAGACGTCCGATGACTAAAATCCTTCATTCTGAACCTCCGACTCTTTTCTCTCTCCGTCCATTAGTGACGTGGTCTCCATAGTGATGTGATGGAACGGCAGCAGCCTGCAGGGACGGGTCATGTGACCACACACACACACACACACAGGAAGTCAATTAACGCAGAATAAGGTTATATAAGTCAGTGTGGAGCCTCTCAGCGGTTTCTCATTGATAAAAGCAGAAAGTGCAGCAGAGGACAGAGCGAGCTACAGAAGTCAAGTCATAGTCAGGGTGTGAACTACAGAGGAGCCTGGGGGGGGGGGGATTAATTGACTTTAATTATTTAGTCTTTTTAAAGGCTCTTCCAATAACTGGCCCAAAATGCTATATTACAGGTAACCTGAACATGAATATTTTATTTACTTACAGTACAAATTTAGATTTCATATTAATATTTCATTGCACTAAAGTGTGTGTGTGTTTTATTCATCAGGCACTGTGCAGGGTAACCTATATCCCACCGCAAGGACCCCTGGACCCGCACTGCTGTGACGACTGAGCCAGAAACAGTCAACAGACAGACAGACAGACAGACAGACAGACAGACAGGTAAGCAGTCTGTAAACTCGTCTGTCTTTTGGTTTCCACCGGAGGTTTCTCCAGATTGCCTCCCCTCCCACAATGCATCTGTGGTGACAGCACCTCTGACTGTTCTGGCAGAGGATTGTGGGAGTGTTGGCGGTGAGACTTCACAGTTGAGGCCGTGCAGATATTCAGTTAAATTAATTATCTGCTACATTTCTCCTATAAATAAATGTCTGACTGTCCCACTTCCACACTCAGTGTTCGGTTTGATGCGAGAGGAGCTAAAAGCTCCGCAGTGTAACACCGAGGAGGATGGAATATAATATTCATATGTATGTTTGTATTAGTGTATAATCACCTGAATGTAGGAATCGTGTAGGAATGTTTTTATCTACAGAAGGAGCGGGTCCTCCTCTGGCGGAGTCCGCCATGTTGCAGGTGTAATGTTTGCAGCTCCTTCAGGGACAAATGTGTGAAGGAGAGACATCGTAGGTCCTTCCTTCCTGCTGCTGTCAGACTGTTTAACAACCAGCACTGCTCCCAGTAGACCCCCCCCCCATCTCGGCATCAATAATAATAATGATTAATGTTTATATATAATATTTATATATAATAACAATGTGCAGTAATTACTGTGCACTACCATTCCATATTCACTGTGCAATCTCTTGCCCATGTGCAACTGCTGCTGCTACTATTTGTGTTATCTGTTTGTGGATTCTTAATGTTTTTTCTCTTGTACAGTGTTTTTATTTTTTATTTATTATTTTTCTACTTTTACTGTTTTTTATACAGATTTTTCTCTATCCACGTTGCTGCTGTAACATTGTGGGACAAATAAAGGAATATCATAATATAATATAATATTATCTTATCTTAATGTCCATTTGTCTCCATTAAAGAAGATTAACTAAAAACAATCACCAGAATAATCGATTAGGTTGCAGCTCTGGAACATAATATCAAATCTGGATGAAAATTCAATTAACTTTTTAGTAAAAGTTGGTAAAACCAAAGAGATTTAAGAATTTATTCCTAGCTGGAGGAAAAAAAGCAGCTGTGACCCACAATGCAACAGTGTGTGTCCATTAACAGAAGACTCAATAACGCTGTGATTTTAGCCATTTTTAACTGTGTGCTGTCCTTTTTACAGAGTGAACACAGTACAGACTGTAAACACAGCTGTGGCTCACACACACACACACACACACACACACACACACACACACACACACACACACACACACACACACACACACACAGTTCAGTATCTCCTCTGTAGAGGAGGGAATCTTTAGCAAACTCCTTTATTTACCCTCTGAGCTACAAATGACACATAACTGACAGTTAACTACACTCAGAGGTAGACTCGAGGACTCGAAGTACTTAGAAACAGACTTTGTGAGCCACGCTGCGCTAACGTTACTGCAGTTCAGTTATTTTACAATCCCAGCATGTTAAAATCTGATGCTAAAAATTTAAAATTAAGTAGGATTATTGCGTAAGGAACGAAGGAGTTTTTATTCCTCAGCCTGAGGGAAGAGTTTTAAACTGAAGGTGAAGGTTGGGGGGGGGTGTACAGTTGAGGATGGACCTGGCCTTGCAGGGAAGCTGCTGGTCATATATAGCCATCAGGGGCACACCGATCACCTTCCCAGCAACCATAACAATGTGGCTCAGGTGGGTTTTGCCCCCTCTCGTCGCTCTTGAGGCGAGACCCTGCCGTTGACCTTTTACCTTTCACGAGAGTGGAGACGCTGCTAGCAGCAAAGCTTCAGTCAACGACCGGTTCATGCTACATTCAGATCCATCTCAGGGTCCGCGTGCAGATTGAGTCGCCTCTGTAACGTTAAAACCGTTTTCACTCCTCGTTCTGAGTCCCATTCCAGCACTGCTGCACTGTGTCCTCACACTGAAGCTCAGTCTGTTGTTAACCAACGTTATTTTTGGCATCATATAAAGATTCTTATGTGTATTGATTTATTCTCACCCACTCCAGACAGTCATCATCCAGTTTTATCCTCCTGACTCACTCATTATCAACCTGCACACACTCGTCTTTGTCTGTCTGTTTCTGTGTCTCAATGTCACTCTGAAGGTCACTGCTGTTTATCTAAGAGTTATGCAACCGCCCATTGTGAAGGTAAGTGGGTCTCTCACACACACACACACACACTCATGATTAGTGTTTCCATGGCAACAGAGAGTGCAGCATCTCTCCTCTGGCGCCAAAGCTACAGAGGAATCTGCCGCTCCTCATCCATCATTCACTTACTGTCTGTTTGCTCTGACCTCTGACCTCCTCAGTATTAGTTGCCTGTGACCTTCGAGAAGGATCTTCTTTTATAAAGACCATCATGTCGGCAGAAGTGCTTACTCACTCCAGCTTCCAGACATTTCTAATCTGCAGCCTCCAGCCGCGGGAGTTTAGCTGGTCGTCAGACTGAGGCTCTCAGATTCGAGCTAACATTACAGGAGTCTGGTGATGCTAATAAAGTGAACACACACTTCGTATCCGGCTGCTGACGGTGTTAGATTACATCAAAAACACCTTCAGACTCCAAAACCCTCCTCACTGACTTCACACTTTATCCATCTCCTTTCAAAAGACAACAGTAAGGTGTAAGCCACGCCGGCCGATCAGGGAGCATCAGTGACACCTGTAGCCCAAACTGGACAGATGATACAGTCCAGAGAAGATGTAGTCAGAGTACAGAGGCCCGGAGGTCCCAATTCAGAGAGAAAATGTAATAAGATTGTTGCTCTCCTGGAGTATCGTATCCTGACAACATGCTGCTGAGGTGCAAACAGCAGGTGCAGATGTTCTGATGTGTGCTGCTCTTAAGACTCTTTTAAAGATGTCCTTCCCTTCTACAGGAGGGAAGGACATTTTGTATTTTTACAATCTTCCATAATCCTTTAAACACATCACGCTGTAGGTCTGCCCCCTCAGGTTTGTCACATATCTGCACGTCTACTTTTAAGGATAATTCAAAAGACAAAGACCACCATGGTTTCAGCTCTGCTACGTAGCACAAGCTCTTATAGCTTTAATAAACAAAATCTGTCTCCAGAGTCAGAGTCCTGGTCGGAACCACAGTAAATCACCATCTTAATGTATTCTCTGGTATCAAACTGGTAAACATAAACCCTTAATTCAGAGAGTTAGATGTGAAAACATTGTGGGCCTCTTCTTCCTCTTGCAGATCATTAAATCGCCCCAAAAATGCTTGATATATTTGCACAATCGCCCCCAACCCTGTTGGCAACTCGCAAGGTTAAAAATGTCCTTATTATGTCCTCAAACGGCAAAAAAAAAAAGACTCTCTTTCCTACAACACAGGAAACAATTTCACTTGAAATAAACAGAAGAAGCTAACTAGCATGAGAAGCTCAGACTGTGACAGCATCATAGCCCCGCCCCACACTGTCTGTCTGCAGATGGAGACTAACAGGGAAAACAACCTTCCCATTTCCCTTGTCAGCCAATCAGGGAGCAGATTACTCACCACGGTGACCAGGTGGCGTGCAGACACCACAGCGTGCTCCGGCTGCACCTCGTGATGCGGTCGCGCCAGCAGGTTGAGGGTTTGCTGGCCGCTGGGCTCCTGACGAAAGCGAGAGTCCAAGAGGGCGGCAGGCATCACTTTGGCCAACCTGGCAGGGTGCTGACGGTGGTGAAGATGATGATGATGATGGTGGTGGAGGTGGTGGGGGTGGGACTCGACTGGAAGGTCGTCCACATTAGGCTGTGGGTTCAAGTCATGTTGGGGGTGCAGAGGTGGAGGGAGACGGCTGGAGCGGCGAGACGGGAAGAGACGAAGCTCGTGGTCACCAGAAGACGACTCTGAGGAGGAGAAGAAGATGTCAGGTGAGATGAAGATGATAGTTGGTAGCTGGTTGTTCATAGTGACTTTTGAAACAATGCTGATTCAGGTACATAAAAGCAACTTCTCCTTTTCAGTCAGCTAATAATTAAATATACCTAAATGCCTTAGATGTAGTTATCTAGCTACCGCTACTGCTGACAGGATTATAATTACACCGGCAGCAGGTTGTCATCTACCTACAGCTCCACCCATCTACAGCAGGTGACGTAGTTTAAAGAGTGAGAAAGACTATGTAAGGAGGCAGTTGGGGTGGATAACTGGGTCAAACAAACGCACGACTTTCACCAGAGATAATAAAAGCTGATATATTTGTACCGGATACTTGTTTCAGACGAGTACTCGCTTAACTTATAATTATTTATACCAAAATCATGATGTTTTCCTGAAACTAACCAAGTAGTTTTGTTGCCTAAACCTGCAGCTGTTTCACGAGTTTAACCACGTAGCTTGAAGGTATGCAGATGTTACTCTTTTGTCTGCTTGACTAAGTATCATATGAACATACCTCTGGATATACACAATCTAATCTTTTAAATATGCATCCCTCCAACGCTGCACATTGAGCAGGACACACAGCAGTGTAAGAGATGAGAGCAGGAGATCCCATCTGCCTTTCTCTCTTTCATCAGTCTGCAGGCGGAGAGGAAACCCCTGCACACCGACTGAACTCACCCAACCGTGATCAACATGAACACTGCATAATTCATTCTCGGTCTTTATTTATCTCAGCAGCATCCGGCTTCACATTCACAGACTTTCAGATGTGAACTGTCTATTTAAAGAAAACACAGAGCAGAACCTTCAGGAGCTGGACCTGAGCGCGATCTGACTGATTTCCAGTGTTTGTTGGTTGCAAAGACAACGAGGACGTGCAGGTTGATAAAAGGTTAATCTTCCCTTTTCAGGAATCAGGGATTTAGGAAGTAAACGCAGAGACGTTTATGGAAGATAGTAGGAGAACAGGAGGGCTCCTTTTTCTCCTGTGATGTTTAGACTCCATTTATTGTATTCGGTTGGTTTATTTAACATATACAGAGTTATATATTATTTTGTATTATATTATATTATATGTAGCCCCTGGGCAGATGACAGAACAGGAGACATTGATTTAATGTGAGAAAGGGAGCCTATTGAAACCCACCTTCTAGCAGACATTATCATCACACAGAGGCAGGGCTCAACAATAAGGATCACCTGGGGCAAATAAAACGCCTCGTCGGTTTAGTAAATCCAGCAGCTCAATAAGTGTTAAAAAAGAATGAAACAACAGTTTCTTGTAGCTGAGGAGTGAGCCATCTCACTTCCTTCCCATCTCTGTTGACAGTCGCACATGCTCAGTAGCGATCGGGCACTCATAGGAAAATGGTTTATGAGCTGAAGCACAAACGAGAGTTTCAATTATCATGGAAACAGGAGTTTAGTTGGGTGGCGTTAAGAGGATGTGGGTGGAAATCCAACTACTGTATGTATCACTCAGTTTGATTCAATTTGAGAACAACACAGATTTTTCAAAGGCAGGTCAAGTTCCCAAAGACTGTCAATGGAGTTTCCTGGCATAAAAGTGGTGGACGAACCAAGCATGCAACCTCCGGGGCTAAGTAACAAAAAGCTGCAGTTCCTCTAACAGCCACTAGAGGCTGGCTCCAGCAGTGAGTCACTCTCCATAAGGTCTCATAATAAAATGTCAGAAATAAACATGCTTACAACCTGTTGGTCTCTTTAATTTCCCCGTTCATGACAACTGTACAACTCACCCCTTTAAATTATATCAAGGGTTAAAGTTATGCAGAATTAAGGGCGTGGCTGCTTTGAGTGACAGGTGGGAGTTTCAGTAACCACCCACTTGCATTTTTCTGGATTAGCCGGGAGCCGACGGAGTCTGGACTGCCAAGACTGACATTGACACTGACATTTCCATCCTTACAGACATGCTTTTAGCTTTTAGGACCACACAACTAATCTAAAATATTATCACAATCACAATATGGCCAAGTGCGATGTCCAGATCTCAGAATCATACCACAATATCAGCCAATATAATATGTGTAAGATGATGTTTTTACCATATCGTGCAGCCCTAGTAAGCATGGCTAAAATTACAACACTGAAAGAAATATGATGAATCATGGTCTGTCAGATTGCAGCAGGTGTTTCTAGAAGGTTTAGTAAAACCTGAGTGATCTGAGCAGAGCTGATGCTGCAGGTTTCTCATACAGCTTCAGTCCGACCTGCACACAGTCCGAGCTGACAGACCGCTCGTCTGTTCGCTCTGGCAGAGAAAGGAAGAGAATATCTGACGGCGTCCTCTGACTCTACCAGACTGTCTGCCAGCCCATGACAGCACTATTTTTCTTGGCTGCATCTGTGCCAAAGATCTGCTGTGCAAGTACTTCTGACTGGTGGAAACAAGAGTTGTTTAGGTTGTGTGTGAGGGAGCTTAAAGCCAGCTCAGAGGCTGTCGACTCAAAAATAAATGCACGCGTTATATTTGTGCTGTGCTGAATTAAAAACAGGAGGTTTCAGCTGACTGAATCAGTCCTTTGAGCTGACACAGCTTCTCTCTCCGTCTCTCTGGCTTCTTTTCTCCCTAGCGACAGCGTCCTGGTTGCTATGCACAACACTGGGCTGAGCCACGCTCTGATTGGACAGCAGAGTCGGCCCTTTCTCGCCCCGGAGGGAGCTGTCGGCCAATGGCAGGAGGAGTTAGAGAGGGCTGACCCGGTAACTCTGTGGGGAGACACACTCCCCAGCAAACACAGTCTGTCTGCAGGTGATGTTAGAAAATGAATAAACATCCAGACATTCCTGCGTTTGGACTTTAAAATGTTGTAGGCATTCATTACTGTGTTCCAGTTACACAAATAAGCTTCAGTATTTACTGTAAACAAAGCAGGAAAAAGGTTCTGCAGATTAAGTATAATTAAAGTACAAACACTATGTGAACATGTTTCTTGCTAAGTTGAAAAGACAGTTTTTAGGGATCCGATCTGCAGTGGAAGAATTTTGTTTTAATTCTGTATTTAATTTTTGTGATTTAACCCGTAACTGCTTCACAGTGGATGTTAAAGGGACTTTATGCTCAGATTTTATGCATATTGTGGATAGTTTTCCTAGAATTAGATTAAAATAAATCCCAACATATCACTGGTTCCCAACCTTTTCCTTTAAGAGACTCGTTTTCTATCAGTGAGTAAACTAAGAGACACACTGTAGATTATATTCAATGCAGAACAATTACAGTAGAGAACAACTGATGAACTGTGCAATGAACCCAAATAGTGTGAAATCAAGCGTTTTGGATGAATTCTGTGCAGATTATTTAGTATAGTGTAGTATTGAGTCTCCTTTAGGAACTTGTTATACAATTCTCTGTCTGTATTATTCATTTATACATTTTTTTAACAATCAAACAAACTTAACAGGCGTCTTTTTTCACAAATTAGGTGTTTTCTTCTCCCGGATGTTTGGTCATTGTTAGCTCTAATGCAGGACGAGGTTGTTTATCAGAGAGTGAAGCCAATAAACAGCCTTATTTACTTACTTACATACAGTGACGCAAAATAAAAGAGGACCACAACAAAGCAAAAGGCCCAAATCTAGAGCCAGTATTTGGTTTGTCTGTTCTGGGCTACTGTAGAAACATGGCGGACTCCACATAAGGCGACCTGCGGCATCTGTAGATAAAAATATTCTACTGTAACAAAAACACAACATTTCTTATTTTCAGCTGATTATAAAACTAATGAAAACATGAATATTATATTACATTTATATTATATTATCCTCAGTGTGACACCTTTCAACAGGACTGAAGTCGCTGTTTTAGAGTATTTTGGCATTTTGTGCTGAAGTTTTAAATAATCCTAAAAGATAAGGAAGGTGTGGAGTTTAAATAAGTTTTTGGGGTTTATGGTTAAACTCAAATATTTCCTTTTATTTAAACGTACAACAAGGAGTTTTTAACTGGTTATGAAACAGTTTATTACTGATGCCTCTGTATGACCTACATAAACAAAAAAAGACCATCAGACAGAAGATTTGTTATTTCTACATAGTTCTAGTCGGGTTTACCTCAGAGCACTCAACACGAAATGATTACTCGAAGGAGGGATTGATTCATGAATAATTGAAATCCTCGTTAATGTGAGTAGACTTGAGTAGAAGCTATTTCACAGTGAATTCCTCGACGGTATCACCACATCATCCCTGCTGTCATGTATTCACAACAGTGAACACATTAAGCATATTTGATGGCTTTTCTCATCACATCCCACATAGGATCCCTACAGATTATATCATATATATCAGATATTATTTATTTACAGTAAGCCTTGTGAGGATTTCTACCTTCTTTTTTCCCCTTTTAGTGACAACTGATCACCTGACTACAACATATTGTTATTATATTCCTGTCATATTATTGTGGAGGGGTCGAGCTTCTGTTGTGAGGCTTTTAATGTACAAAGAACAGATTTTAGGGGTGTAACAAACATTATTCAAGCATGAATTGATCACAGAGAACATAAAATATCTGTAATTGCAATGGATACATTGCCATCGCATGTTAAAGAGGTTATTTAGCTTTTTTTTAAAATTTTTTTTTTAAATCAGACCAACACAGATATGCAGTTTACAAGCAAGCAAATGGTCACATCTGAGGAGCTGTTACTGGCATTTTATGGTGATTTCTACAAGGTGAATGACAGAAAGGACAATTGAATTACCCCAATAAGAGGCTAATCCATTGATTTAAGCACTACTGCTGCTAGGTTGTGTTTTTAAGGCAGCACACACACAACAGACGCTTACCTGTGATCAGCAGCTGTGTCCAGATCAGACACAAGAAAAGAAACATGGTGAGAAATCCTCCTCTTCCTCTTCTGTGGCTCATCCTTCCTCTCTCTCTCTCTGCAGCTCAAACTGAAACAAATGTGCCTCTGCAGCTTCTCTCAGTGCTGTATTAAAGCATCAAGCACAGCAGACGGTGTATATTTCCGCGCATCTATCTGTGGCTCCGCAGCATGCAGCATGAGGGAGGAGACGCTGCCAGAGCTCCAGAGATCCGCTCCAACACCGGCACCCCGCGACGCTCCTTCCCCGCCCTGCGGTGTCCTACAGCGGCCTGGCTGGAGGAGGAACAGCCGGTGTGCAGCAGCGGCTCCGGGAGACGCTTTTTTCCATCTGAGGTCCAGAGACGAAGCAGAGGTGTGCGGGGAGCCGGGGTTCAGGTGGAGGCAGCCGGGCTGGTGATGATGAGGAGGAGAGAGGAGAGAGGAAGGGGAGGAGAAAAGGCGTGGTGGAGGAGAGAGGAGGAATAATCCTTAATTTATATATTTATATTTATTTAATTTAAAAAAAATTACTGATTTACTTTGTTTATATGAAAATAATTATTTAAATAAAATTAAAAAATATGTAAATTTTTTGCGGCGTTTCCGTTCACCTGAAAGTCCGGAAGTAAACATTTCTTCAACTAGATATATTGATTAATTAATTGATTGCCATTAATCAATCAATCAATCAATCACAATATGTTAAATGTAAATAATAAAATATAAACCCACCAAATGTCAAAATATGGCCACAAACAGGACAAAATATAAACCTAAAGGACAGAAAACCTCAAACATTAAATCTCCTGAGTCATCAGGTATTAGCATTAGCATTAGCATTAACGGTCAGGCTAACGTTACTTCACTTTGCAGACTGTAATTAATAATTAATAATTAATAATTAATAATTACACAGGTGGGGTAAAATATTCGCCCCCCACGATAACTATCGATGAATTAACAATAAATGTAAAATAAACAATAATATTTAATATCAATAATTAATAAACGGTCACAACTCGGCAGCCGCCGCTAGCTACATGTAGCAATAGCATGCTAAGTTTTAGCTAGCTTTTAAAAAAAACTTTATTAACAAACAGGTTGACAGTTCATAAAGAGACGATCATAAATTAGTTCAATAAATCATACAGAGTAAATACATTTAGGATTGTTTTATTATCAGTATTTTTTTTGACTTTCTGATTCTAAATCATTGACGAGTAAAATAAATATAAAACAAACAAATATCAACTGTTGTCAACTTCAGCAGTCGCTGTCTGACTCCGTCTGATCATCAATGTTATTGATCCTCAACATTAGCAACGCAGACTTTAATCTCAGCTTGTAGATCATCATTACGTCATTACATCATCACATCATTACATCATCACATCATTACGTCATTACATCATCACGTCATCACATCATCACATCATTACATCATCACATCAATACATCATCACATCATTACATCATTATATTTCCTGATTTACTGTCCAACTACTGTCTGACTCCAGCTGAACAACCTCTACTGTCCTCTACCTCTACTGCAATACTTTACTGCCCTCTACTGTCCTCTACTGCAATACTCTACTGTCCTCTACTGTCCTCTACTGCAATACTCTACTGTCCTCTACTACAATACTTTACTGTCCTCTACTGTCCTCTACTGTCCTCTATTGTCCTTTACTGTCCTCTACTGTCCTTTACTGTCCTCTACTGTCCTTTACTGTCCTCTATTGCAATACTTTACTGTCCTCTACTGTCCTCTACTGTCCTCTACTGCAATACTTTACTGTCCTCTACTGTCCTCTACTACAATAGTTTACTGTCCTCTACTGTCCTCTACTACAATACTTTACTGCCCTCTACTGTCCTCTACTGCAATACTTTACTGCCCTCTACTGTCCTCTACTGCAATACTCTACTGTCCTCTACTGTCCTCTACTGCAATACTTTACTGCCCTCTACTGTCCTCTACTGCAATACTCTACTGTCCTCTACTGTCCTCTACTGTAACACATTACTGTCATCTACTGTCCTCTACTGCAATACTCTACTGTCCTCTACTGTCCTCTACTACAATACTTTACTGTCCTCTACTGTCCTCTACTGTCCTCTACTGTCCTTTACTGTCCTCTACTGTCCTCTACTGCAATACTTTACTGTCCTTTACTGTCCTCTACTACGATACTCTACTGTCCTCTATTGCAATACTTTACTGTCCTCTACTGTCCTCTACTGTCCTCTATTGCAATACTTTACTGTCCTCTACTGTCCTCTACTGTCCTCTACTACAATACTTTACTGTCCTCTACTGTCCTCTACTACAATACTTTACTGTCCTCTACTACAATACTTTACTGTCCTCTACTGTCCTCTACTGCAATACTTTACTGTCCTCTACTGTCCTCTACTACAATACTTTACTGTCCTCTACTGCAATACTCTACTGTCCTCTACTGTCCTCTACTGTAACACATTACTGTCATCTACTGTCCTCTACTGCAATACTCTACTGTCCTCTACTGTCCTCTACTACAATACTCTACTGTCCTCTACTGTCCTCTACTGCAATACTTTACTGTCCTCTACTGTCCTCTATTGTCCTTTACTGTCCTCTACTGTCCTTTACTGTCCTCTACTGCAATACTTTACTGTCCTTTACTGTCCTCTACTACGATACTCTACTGTCCTCTATTGCAATACTTTACTGTCCTCTACTGTCCTCTACTGTCCTCTATTGCAATACTTTACTGTCCTCTACTGTCCTCTACTGTCCTCTACTACAATACTTTACTGTCCTCTACTGTCCTCTACTACAATACTTTACTGTCCTCTACTACAATACTTTACTGTCCTCTACTGTCCTCTACTGCAATACTTTACTGTCCTCTACTGTCCTCTACTACAATACTTTACTGTCCTCTACTGTCCTCTACTGCAATACTTTACTGTCCTCTACTGTCCTCTACTGCAATACTTTACTGTCCTCTACTGTCCTCTACTACAATACTTTACTGTCCTCTACTGTCCTCTACTGCAATACTTTACTGTCCTCTACTGTCCTCTACTACAATACTCTACTGTCCTCTACTGTCCTCTACTACAATACTTTACTGTCCTCTACTGTCCTCTACTACAATAGTTTACTGTCCTCTACTACAATACTCTACTGTCCTCTACTGTCCTCTACTACAATACTTTACTGTCCTCTACTGTCCTCTACTGCAATACTTTACTGTCCTCTACTACAATACTCTACTGTCCTCTACTGTCCTCTAATGCTGTCCTCTACTGTCCTCTACTGCAATACTTTACTGTCCTCTACTGTCCTCTACTGCAATACTTTACTGTCCTCTACTGCAATACTTTACTGTCCTCTACTGTCCTCTACTACAATACTTTACTGTCCTCTACTGTCCTCTACTACAATACTCTACTGTCCTCTACTGTCCTCTACTACAATACTTTACTGTCCTCTACTGTCCTCTACTACAATAGTTTACTGTCCTCTACTGCAATACTCTAATTCAATTCAATTCAATTCAATTTTATTTGTATAGCGCCAATTCTTAACAGAAGTTATCTCAGGACACTTTTCAAATAGAGCAGGTCTAGACCGAACTCTTTATAACATTAATTACAGAGACCCAACAGTACCACCATGAGCAAGACCTTGGAGACAAGGGCAAGGAAACACTGCCTGTTAAAAGGCAGAAACCTAGGACAGATCCTCCGGCTCTAGGTGGGTGGTCGTCTGTCTCGACCAGTTGGGGTGAGAGAGAGAGAGAGAGAGAGAGAGAGAGAGAGAGAGAGAGACAGACAGGTGCACAGCAACAACAGTATTGGCCATGGCAATCTAGCAGGACCATGGCAGGAGGCTCCACCAGGATCAATAAGAACCTGCGAGACGAGAAAGCACAAGAACTCCGGGGAAGAAGTGAAGTTAGTAACATGCATTAATGGAACATGAATGAGTGCAGAAAGAGAGAGGAAGAGAGGAGCTCAGTGCACCATGGGAAATCCCCCGATAGTCTAGGCCTATAGCAGCATAACTAAGGGATGGTTCAGGACTCACCTGATCCAGCCCTAACTATAAGCTTTATCAAAGAGGAATGTCTTAAGCCTACTCTTGAATGTGGAGAGGGTGTCTGCCTCCAGAACCACAACTGGAAGCTGGTTCCACAGGAGAGGAGCTTGGTAACTGAAGGCTCTGGCTCCTGTTCTACTTTTAGAGACTATAGGAACCACAAGTAGCCCAGCATTCAGAGAGCGTAGTGTTCTAGAGGGGTAATAGGGTACTATGAGCTCTTTAAGATATGAAGGGGCCTGACCATGAAGAGCTTTATAGGTGAGGAGGAGGATTTTAAATTCAATTCTACATTTTATAGGGAGCCAGTGCAGAGTAGCTAGTACAGGAGAGATGTGATCTCTTTTTCTAGTTCCTGTCAGTACTCGTGCTGCAGCGTTCTGAATTAATTGGAGCGTTTTAATGGACTTATTGGGGCAACCTGATAATAAAGAGTTGCAGTAATCCAGCCTTGAAGTAACAAATGCATGGATTAGTTTTTCTGCATCTGTCTGTGATAGGATGTGTCTAATGTTTGTAATATTACGTAAATGAAAGAAGGCAGTCCTAGAGGTCTGCTTTATGTGGGAGTTAAATGACAAATCCTGATCAAAGATAACTCCAAGATTCCTGACAGTGGTGCTAGAGGCCAAGTTAATGCCATCTAGAGTAACTATATCTTTAGACAATGAGTCTCTAAGGTTTTTGGGGCCAAGAACAAGTCCTCTACTACAATACTCTACTGTCCTCTACTACAATACATTACTGTCCTCTACTGTCCTCTACTGCAATACTCTACTGTCCTCTACTGCAATACTCTACTGTCCTCTACTGCAATACTCTACTGTCCTCTACTGTCCTCTACTGCAATACTCTACTGTCCTCTACTGTCCTCTACTACAATACTTTACTGTCCTCTACTGTCCTCTACTACAATACTTTACTGTCCTCTACTGTCCTCTACTGCAATACTCTACTGTCCTCTACTGTCCTCTACTGCGATACTTTACTGTCCTCTACTACAATACTTTACTGTCCTCTACTGCAATACTTTACTGTCCTCTACTGTCCTCTACTGCAATACTTTACTGTCCTCTACTACAATACTTTACTGTCCTCTACTGTCCTCTACTGCAATACTCTACTGTCCTCTACTGTCCTCTACTGCAATACTCTACTGTCCTCTACTGTCCTCTACTGTAATACTTTACTGTCCTCTACTGTCCTCTACTACAATACTCTACTGTCCTCTATTACAATAGTTTACTGTCCTCTACTGCAATACTTTACTGTCCTCTACTGCAATACTCTACTGTCCTCTACTGCAATACTCTACTGTCCTCTACTACAATACTTTACTGTCCTCTACTGCAATACTCTACTGTCCTCTACTGCAATACTCTACTGTCCTCTACTACAATACTTTACTGTCCTCTACTGTCCTCTACTGCAATACTTTACTGTCCTCTACTGCAATACTTTACTGTCCTCTACTGCAATACTCTACTGTCCTCTACTGTCTTCTACTGCAATACTTTTCTGTACTCTACTGCAATACTCTACTGTCCTCTACTGTCCTCTACTGCAATACTTTACTGTCCTCTACTACAATACTTTACTGTCCCCTACTGTCCTCTACTACAATACTTTACTGTCCTCTACTGTCCTCTACTGCAATACTTTACTGTCCTCTACTACAATACTTTACTCTCCTCTACTGCAATACTTTACTGTCCTCTACTGTCCTCTACTGCAATACTTTATTGTCCTCTACTGCAATACTCTACTGTCCTCTACTACAATACTTTACTGTCCTCTACTGTCCTCTACTGCAATACTTTACTGTCCTCTACTGCAATACTTTACTGTCCTCTACTGCAATACTCTACTGTCCTCTACTACAATACTTTACTGTCCTCTACTGCAATACTCTACTGTCCTCTACTACAATACTTTACTGTCCTCTACTGTCTTCTACTGCAATACTTTACTGTACTCTACTGCAATACTTTACTCTCCTCTACTGCAATACTTTACTGTCCTCTACTGCAATACTTTACTGTCCTCTACTGTCCTCTACTGCAATACTTTATTGTCCTCTACTACAATACTCTACTCTCCTCTACTGCAATACTTTACTGCCCTCTACTGTCCTCCACTGCAATACTTTATTGTCCTCTACTGTCCTCTACTGCAATACTCTACTGTCCTCTACTGCAATGCTTTATTGTCCTCTACTGCAATACTTTCCTGTTTAATACTGTTTCTTTACTGGACTCTACTGTGTGTCTCTGTGTATTTAAATGCTTTCTGAAGTGCATCTCCTCCTCCGTATCTAATCCTGAAGGAGCTTCCTATTCCTCCCATCTTTTACGGGAAGCCCTGCCCATCGTGTGGCCCTAACTGACTCCTCGTTTCACTTTCGCCACCTGCCCCGAACAACAGCCGACTCACACCGACATCCCTGCACATTCTGATGTTTCTCTGCTCTAACCAGCAGCAGCAGCAGCAGCAGCAGCAGCATGATTCTGGTCAACTGCTGTTTCTTCATCAGCTCCAACATCATCTTCGCAGTGAGTAACTGGACTTTAAAGAAGAAAAACACAAATGCATAAAAATACACTTGTTCCTTTTACATAAGTATTATTTAACTGTTAAATTATCAAATTAAAATCCCCTAATCAGAAAGTGTTAATGTGTTTCTGTTAGATAATTGTGGTATTTCTCTGTTATTAAATATCTTTGTTGTTGTTTTTTGCTTTTTAAATTAGGGTCGCCTCTCAGTGCTTCCTCGAGTATAAATAAAGGTCGAATTATATTTTAAAAAAGGTTTAGTTTACCATAAGAAGCTTTTGAAGAAGACATAAGTGCATAGAGAAGATGACACATGCGAATTTGCAGCCCCAACAGGGAGAACATGAGCGACCTCTGCTGGTGAAATGGATACAGTGCATTTATTTAAACAATAGTAAATGGGATTGAGTCAAAATATGGGATTTATTGACAGAAGAAAAATATAAAGTCATCAGATTGACCTTTAAATAACATCATTCTGATTCCTGCTGCCCTGTCATGTTTCAGATTGTGGTCGGACTCTCCATCATCCCCGTGGCTCTGTGGCATCCGTTTCTGGACGACTTACATGGAGGAACTTTTGTAAGACAGAAACAACAGAGTTCAATATGAAAACAATGTTTACAGTTTCAAGGTTCTCTTGTTTGGTGGATGTGTCTGAGGTGTTACCCAATCTGCAGCGTTGTGTATATGAACCCTGTCGTATTAAAAAGGCAGTGCGTACACAGAAGAGTGTTCAAGGCACCACTGTTCATAGTTAAAGCTGCAGGAGGTAAAATTACTTTCTGTCATATTTGCTGAAACTTTCACTTTATCCTGACAGTAGAACATGATAGAGATAATGTGTGAAACAATCAGGTTCCTCTGACTCGTTCTACTGCTCCTGATGGCGTTTACAAGAATCAACCGGGCGTGAGTGAAATCAGAGCTGAGAAAGATAGAAAGAAGCCATGGAGCATATGCTGTTTACAAACAAGTAGTAGTAGTCCGCCATTGTTGTTGTTGTTATGATGCGTCTAGCGGCGGTGGCTGAGGTTAAAGGCTAGAGAGGCGGGGCTAATACGTCATCGTTTTGGAAAATCTACTCCAGACGACTCCGGGTAATCCGGCATCAGATTTTCCCGCTCTGGGACCCGTTTCCAAAAAATACAGTTTTCACACCCTGAAAACGCCGTATCCGTCTGGACACGAGGCCGATACGATAAAGTATTTATCCGGATTCAAGAAAAATGTATTTGTGAGGACGGGCCCTGAGACTCAACAACCAACTCTCTTTCTCAGCTCTGATTGGTTGTTTTCATTCGGGCCCATCAGGAGCACCAGGAGGAGTCAGAGGAACCTGATTGTTTCACACATTATCTCCTGTTCTACTGTCAGGATAAAGTGAAAGTTTCAGCAAATGTGACAGAAAGTTCTTTTTATAAAAGTTACCTCCTGCAGCTTTAAATCAATGCTTTGCTGCCCGGCTAAAAACTAAATGAAATCATTGTTTTAGTTTTGCTGTTGTGGCTGCATGAATACAAGAAGCTTGGTATCGTTGTGGTTGTTTAAGGGCTCCTGTTGACTGTGAATAAAAACAATGCAGCTTGTTTGCATCGTCACACAATATAACTTTATATTTATATTCTGAATGAATCATGGACCAATCAAAGCAGGGTTAGGTTTAAAAGAGCTGATTGGTGTGTCAATCAACTCTCTGTTTTCCAGTTTGAAGGTGAGACAATCAGCCACCTCTACTTCATCACCTTCTTCATCGCTGGCTCCGTTACCATGGTGACTGCCATCTTAGCAGCCTGTGGAGCCCATAAGAAGAACGTGGTGGCTTTAATCACGGTGAGCAGAAACACAGTTCAGGACACTGAACTCTGACTGTAGATTGTGAATTAGACTCTCTGTCATTGAAAGACAGCTAACTTCAGAGGGCTATGTCAAGATAAAGATAGCGGCGGCTAAGACAGGCTGAGTTTAGTTATTAATTTTCTAACATTTGGGTTATTTAGTTCCACATAATGAAATAAAACAGCAGCTAAATCAATTCATCATGGAGAACAAAAAGAAAACAGATTTTACTCGACGAAATGCTTTTCCTGCTCAAAAGTGAAATTGAAATAATAAATAAATGACGACAGAATGAGCCACAATCTAAATGTGGAGGCAGATATCAAACTATCTACATGGTTCGGATGGTTTCTGATGCAGTTCTGGGACTTCAGGTTTCAGGTTGTCTCCTCCTGCTGTTGCTGCTGTGTACGTTCGCTACGAGTCTGCTGCTGATCGGCCGACCCAAGGTAACCAAGCTAATCAAGTCACTGATTAAATACAAAAAGAAGAACTGACTGACTCCTGAATAAAACTCCTGTTTATAGCTGAGTCTGACTGAGGAAAAGTGCCGTGCATTTCTTCCTCTGGATCAGGCTGCAGACAACATCAAGAGTCAGGTTGAAGCTCTGCAGACATCAGTAAGATGCTCACACACTCATTCTGGGGATTTTCACATTAAAATAACATGTTGGGAAATAAAACTGTGTGTTAGGAACAGTGTGTTGTTCTGTTCTGTGCGGTGTAATGAGCCCTGCAGCCTGTAGGGGGCACTAGCTCTTCTTATTCCATTGTGTTTAGCTGCACTGCTGCGGTCTGTTCAGTTACCAGGACTGGGAGGACAACATCCCCAAATCCTGTGAGTGCAACCAGGAGGAGGAGATGGAGGGCAAGTGTCAGACAGTGAGCTACAGGGTGAGTTTCAAACATTTCAATTATATTCTGTCAAAATAATATACATATAAAGGTTTAAACATTTAAACAGAGTTTGATGAAAGGACAGATTTATAAAAACATCTTTAACTATGTGTCAAAACTGACAGTCTATAATCTCTATTAGGGCTCGCCTTATAGTAAGTTAAACCTTAATCAACCTTTTGGTCCTAAAACTGCCTAAAAAAGCCTAAAATTGCTGCATGTTGTGCAAATAAAGGCATAAAAAGCCAAAAATATATAAATAAGTGCTCACAAAGACAGAAATACATGAACACACACAAAAACAAGACTGCATTGCATTTACAGTACGAGCTCCCTCTACTCGTGAATCTCTGAAATTAAATTCAAAAACATACTAAAATTGTTTTTATGAAAACACTTAAACTATGTAATTTAAAATAATTTTAAATAATCTGTATTCCTCTGTTTCCTCTTCCAGAACTTTCTGTTAAACCTTTTCTGGCAGAAGAAGTCCGTCTTCAGACAGGTCAGTGGACAAATACAGCGTCCTGGAAAACCTGGAAATTAAGAGACTAGTTCTCCAGGAAACACCTGGAAGTTTCCCCTAAAGGAGAAATGTTGGGAAGCACTGTACATTAGGAGGGAGGTAGGGAATATGTTATAATGAAATTGGGGTGAACTGACTCTTTACTGTCAATAAATTGATACAGTATACTCATATACTGCTGGATTCAATAAACCCTGGTTGGTGTGTCTGGGACAATCCCAGTCAAAGTTCCCATCAAGGAAATCTTCACAGATCCTAAAATTAGATATTTCCACCTATTGTATTGTACTTCTGTGTTTGTACTTCTGTGTTTCCTCAATGAATCAACATTCAGACACATACAGGAACCTCCTGCCCACCCCCATCAGACCATCAGAGGAATCAACCAGAGCGCAAATTAAGTTCAGGTGGAACGTCTCCCATTGGGCTTTGGCTTTAGTTGGCACAAAATCTGTCAATTAAAGCACTTTTGTAGTAAAATATTTTAATACAAGAATCATTTCATATCTGGGAGACCTTGGAGAATATAAAAGCGTTGTTCATTGAGTATTAACATTGGCTTCTCTCTCACCAGGACTGCTTCCCCCTCATCATGGACTCTGTTACAAGACAATTCGACATCATACTGGGAATGTTCTCCGCTCTCTCCGTCCTGGTGGTGAGTTTAATGTCTTTATAGACCTTCTGAAATATCCATCTTCTCCTCAGAGTCTGGGGAAGAGGTAGCAAGCATGCTAGCAAGTGACAAATGTCAGTGTGGTTCTGAAAATGAACTGGGCCTGTTTCCCCTCCAGCTGTTGGACCTGGGGCTGTCTGCACTGATGAGCTACCAGATGTTCAACGTCCCCACGGTGCAGTTTGTGCCACTGCTCCTCATCAACTAATCGCCTGCCTACCAGCACCTGTTGGCCCCGTCAGATCAGGCTGCTAGCATGAGATTGAGCTTTAACCATTTTTGATGCATTTTCTGGATATCTTTCTAAAAGCATGAGATAAGAGGAGAAAAAGTCTCATATAACAGATCAATTCCTCATATATAGCAACTACACAGAGGCCTTGTTCTTATCTTCTGTCTAAACAGAAACATAATCTTATCAAGCATGTGTTGTATTAGAAAAGTAACTTACTGAGATCTCACAGCTGATATTGAGCTGGATTTAACCAGTAACAACAATGGTTGCATAATATCCCAGCAGAGGAGATTATTGTCCTTTTTTTCAGAATAAAAGCACTCGCACAACTTCACAGTTTAACAGAAAGTCGTCTGGTCCCAGTGTTGGAAATAAAGCAGCTGTTTCTGGAGACTTCAGTTAAAACAAAGTCACTTATTTTTATTCTGCTGGTTGAAGAAATTGTTTCCGACTGGAGGATTTTTTTTTTATTTGTTTGGCAAATTATTAATCTTAAATTAGGGCACACATTCTTAAATTCAGCAACCTTGCTTAAATCTTTGTCCTTTTCAAGTTTCAAGGTCCTTTACAGTCTTTCAGTGGCTAGTTTTAAGATTTCTAGTTCGACCCCGCTGCCAGATTTTTTGCTAAAGAGTTGCAAAAATCTCCGTACGGACTGTAAACTATTAGAATTATTTTGCAATGTTCAAATCTCTGCACTGTACTACTGAAGGTAAACTGTTGGACTAACAGTGTTATAGTGAAACAGCTCTGCAGAGATTTCCTGACCAACAAACCTTTTTCTCCACATTTAAGAATACATGTTTGTTTGATACAGACCCCCCCCCAAAAAACAAATGTCACATCATCACAATGTTAATAATGTTTTTGAGAAAATTCAGTTAATAAATGATGATTCCCAACATTTACAGTTACATACTTGCTTCTATACATGGATGAAATGAGTTCCTCTGAATCCGAGCACAGCCACTCTGTGCAGCGATGACGTCAGATTCAGAGAAATGTTAGTTACATGTGTCTCCTTTAAGCTTTACTCACATTCCTCTGCAGTGACTCAAACCACAGCTCTCCTTACAGAAACCTCACCATCTCACTCAGGCCAGCTTTACACAAACCAGCCGGGAGCAGGAGTTCGCATTTAGAGACATATTTCCCCTTCAAAAAACGTGTTACCGTAATCCTCTCTCTCCGTTCACTTCTTGCATCTCTTCATCCATAACTTCCACAACCGGAAACAGTCTGACTTTTATTTCTGCAGATAAAACAAACTACTGAAAAAAGTTGTGTGTTTGAGTTTTTGCAAATATTTTATCAAATACATCAAAAGAAGCCAAAGCGAAGTCTTAACAACCCTCAACAGACCGGGAAGATTACTGAACAGGGCCCATTGGGGGGGGGGCATCAGGGTCACCTCAGCCAGAGCTTCCGTTCCAAGTGGATTAATATTTACAGTTACAGTACGACCACAAAGACACAGAATGACCACAAACACATATTTAACTACTACAGAGAGAAGCAATGTAAGTACGAGGCCACAGAGACACAAAACAACTACAAAGAGACATAAAACAACAACAAAGAAACAAAAAACAACAACAAAGAGACAAAAAACAACAACAAAGAGACATAAAACAACTACAAAGAGACATAAAACAACAACAAAGAAACAAAAAACAACAACAAAGAGACAAAAAACAACAACAAAGAGACATAAAACAACTACAAAGAGACATAAAACAACAACAAAGAAACAAAAAACAACAACAAAGAGACATAAAACAACTACAAAGAGACATAAAACAACAACAAAGAAACAAAAACAACAACAAAGAGACATAAAACAACTACAAAGAGATATAAAACAACAACAAAGAAACAAAAAACAACAACAAAGAGACAAAAAACAACAACAAAGAGACATAAAACAACAACAAAGAAACAAAAAACAACAACAAAGAGACATAAAACAACTACAAAGAGACATAAAACAACAACAAAGAAACAAAAAACAACAACAAAGAGACATAAAACAACTACAAAGAGATATAAAACAACAACAAAGAAACAAAAAACAACAACAAAGAGACAAAAAACAACAACAAAGAGACATAAAACAACAACAAAGAGACAAAAAATAACTACAAAGAGACATAAAACGACCACATAGAGACCAAAGAACAGGTACAGACACACTGTGTATATCGGTGTATAGTCGTTCCAGCAGTGTAAATGTAATGGAGGATAAATTATTGGAAATATAAAACTGCTCTTGAGAATCTGGTTTAAACTCTGCTGGTAAAAGAAAACTGTCATTTCCAGGATTTGGGATTTCTTAAGAGTTCAAGTTTTTCAACTCCGCCCATCCAGCATTCCCCCCCCACACACACACACACACACACACACACACACATATGCGCTACTGACTACGTTAAGGGAATTTTCCATTCCTCTTCTCGGAATTAGGCCTCTCTCCCTCTCTCTTCTCTCTCTCCCCCCTCCCTCTCTCTGTGTCTCTCCCTCTCTCTTCTCTCTCTCCCTCTCTCTCTCCCTGTCTTTTCTCTCCCTCCCTCTCCCCCTCTCTCTCTCCCTCTCTTCCCTCCCTCTCTCTCTCTCTCCCTCTCTCTCTCTGTCTGTCTCTCTCCCTCCCTCCCTCCCTCTCTCTCTCCCTCCCTCCTCTCTCTCTCTCTCCCTCTCTCCCTCCTCCTCTATGTGCAGCAGCCCTCCCGGATGTTGTTACCAGGTCCTCCCTCCTCCCTCTGCATTTACTGGAAGCCCCGCCCCCTCCCTCCCCCGCCGTCCCCCATCCCATAAAGCCAGCTCCCCCTGCTCTTCCTCACCGGTATCACTGCTGAAGACGTTGCTGAACCTCGTTGTGTATTCGGTGGATTTTAATCTGCAGACATGGCTCAGATCAACACCTGCCTCAAACGCACCTTCACCATCTTCAACCTTTTCTTCGCGGTGAGTTGAAAATGGCCGCCGACCGTCCGGATGTGTGTGTGAATAAAAAGTGCGCAGCGGAGTGTGTGAGGCCTCCTGCCTGTAGGACCCTGTAGGACCCTGTACACAGAGCTCTATCAGCTGTATATCAGCTATCAATAGGTTCTTAAATAGCTCAATCATCAGAAATATGCAGGAATTAATGAGGAAAACTATATTTTTGATGCAAATTTACATTAAACTAAATTAACTATTAACTACAGACTTCAACAAAAGCTAAAAAAAAGTCAAATAAAGCAAATTAAAGTTAATTCTAATTCAAATAAGCTCAGTTTACAGTAATTAATGTAGATTTACTGCAGTGCTGTGAGTGCAATGTGTGTGTGAATGTAGAAAATGTGCACAGTCATTGTGTGTGTTGGGATTGTTTTGTGATTTTTAAGATAAAAATAAGTTAAAGTGAAAATGTTTAATGAGAATGAGCTTTATGAGGATATTGTCTAACACTACCGGCCGGTGTTTCCTTTATTTCCCGGTTTACAGAGCTATAAATGATAAATGTTTTCTCTCTCACCTGCTCTCATTGTTTAGTTTGAGGCTTCTTCCAGGAAGTCTTCCTGTTTATTTTCCATCACAAACAGCTTCTGCCTTCACTTTAAGCTTCAGTAGGCAGTTTTATTGTGGTTGTAGTCTTTAGGTGGGAATGCAATACAAAATTAATCTTTTAGTTGTTTGGGAAATGTAAAAAAAGTAGTGAAAGATGGTTTTTAGTTAAGTTTGGACAAGGTAAAAGTAGAAAATCCTGATGTTTTAAAAGCTGGAACCATCAAATATTTGATATTTTCTTCAGTAAAATACTATAAAAGTAGTCCCTGATGGATTTATTTTGTCAACCAACTCTTCTCCTGATCTGGTTTTGTTTCTGTTTCATTGGTTTCAGTCTGAAGGCAAAACAATAATTACATTTAATAGTTTGCAGCTGTTTTATATAAAGCTTTGGTCTGGAGCTTTTTTCACAATAAAAGCACAAGTAATTATTTACAGAATCTACACAGGATTTATCTGTTGGTTTTTTCCCACTAAACAGTCATTAGATTTGTTTTGTAATGTGCAGATTGGAGCTGTCACAATACTGGAATTATAATTCACTCTCAAAAAATGTGGTAAACATATCAGCCGAGCATCGGAAACAAATGAGTTATAGTGACACTTAATGACCTCCAACATATTTTCTATTCTGCTTTTTCTTGAGAAGTGCACGTCAGACCCTGACAGGAAATAATTTAACCTATTTCTATTATTGGTTTTGTCTACAGCTGTAAGGAACTGGTGGTGTTTTTTGTTTTTTAAAATATTCAGGACTTCCTGCAGTATTTTATGGTTGAGGCGGCCCACCACGCCTGAAATAAAGACACCTCCACTTATAAAGATATGTGTGTGTGTGTGTATGTGTGTGTGTGTATGTGTGTTATATATATATATATATATATATATATATATATATATATATATATATATATATATACAATGTGTATATCAGAAATGGTGTCATCTGCAAACTGATTGATCGTGAGTCTCTATAAATCAGTATTTTACATATTATGGCTGACAATGTTTTTGGCTTGTTAAGTATTTCCCTAATTAAACTGCCAGTTATTTTCTTGATTGTTTAGCTTACATCAAAGAACTGCCACAAACCCCTAAATTTATTTAATTTACTGTAAAATTAAGATGAGGAAAAGTCCATTTTCACACTTAAATAACTTTAAAACAAGATAATTTGGGGATTATTTACTTATAATTGACAAATTTTTGTGATCTCATAATAGCTGATTGATGAATGGACTCCCATCAACCAAGAAGTCGCTCATTTGTTTGTTTGTTAGTTTTCTGTTTTGTTTACATTTTAGAATCCCAAAATTTATTTCGTAATTCACAAAAAAAGTGTCAAATGAGAAAGAACGTATATAAATTTGTGTCGCATAATCTTGCAAACCTTCAGATTTATCTCGTGACGACTGATATACAGACAGCGGTTTGATGGACTTTTACCACGGCGAGGTTATGTGGCACTTCCTGTGTGCTTTTAATTTGTTGAATCTGATGAAAGTATGTTTTTGTTTGTTTCAGATTATCGGCGGCGCCATCATCGTGCTCGCTCTGCTGTGTCAGTCCCTCACGAACATCGATGGCGGAGACGTAAGAACAAGCACTGTTTTAAAAATCGTCTCTAAATCCAAAAACAACCCTGAATATTAACCTGTCGAACAACTCTTTCTTCCCCCTGCTGCAGGGTCTGGAGGGTCGGACCACCGGCCTCATCGTCCTCTATGTGGTGGGCGGTATTACCATGGTGATCGCCATCCTGGGAGCCTATGGGGCCCACAAGGAGAGCAAAGTGTGCCTGATCGTGGTGAGTACAGAGACCAGCTTCCTCTGGGGCTGCACAGGATAACGCAACTTCAGACTCAGTTGATGAAATCCACTGCCGGGGAGCAGTTTGACTCACAATCAGGTCAGCGGTGATGTTTGAGGGGAAAACCAGACTGCTGCTCTAGCTGCAAAAGACCAAAGTCTAAAGAATAAAACAAGAGTTCATATACGGGCACAGGAGTACAGATGTTTGTGTGGTTTCCTGTTCCTGTTGACTAAAAACACTTTTTTGACTCTAAAACTGCCTGTTGGGGGAAAATGTGCCAGTGAACAGATATAATGTCTCTACCACCCTTTTTAAAACCTCTGAAATAAACAGTTTCTTCAGACCAACTTCTCAGAAACTCTGTGATGCAATTTATGTTTTTTCTTCGGTGCCATTGTGGTGATTGTCTCTTTCCGTCTCCTTCCACAGTTCCTGGTGTGCATGGTTATTGGAAGTCTGCTGATGCTCCGAGCTGGGATCCCCTCTGCCATCTTCCGCCCCCAGGTAACGACCCTGTCCCCATACTGGACATTTTAGTAGGTGATAGCAACTCCAGTGAAATTCCCCGACTCTTGATACAGATTCAATGCCACAGTAAACATATTTTTGCCCCTGATTCCTCCTTTAACAACTGTTAGTCGCAGCCATAATCCTCAGGAAGTAAAAGACATACTACGGCTTGGTACTGCACGAAAACGAGTACCGTCGGATTTTCAGAATTTCGGTATTGACTTGGCACTGAAGTATCGGTTCTCGTAACGTTCCTACTCTGCTGTACTGCAGGGGATTTACCAGATTAAGTGGTTTACAGTAACTTTATAATAGTTATTCTACTTCATCTATTGTCTCGAAACAATAAACACCTCTCAGGCTGTTGGGTCGTAAAGATTAGATAAACCTATAAACTGGATTCTGTTAGGGTTAGAAGACAAAGAGGAGCCTACACGCCCCTCTTTGTGACCTTGAGTATATCCAGCCTGTTGGGAGTGAGCTATAAGAAAACAGACTGAAAATAAGAGTTTCTTTATCACGTCAAACTGACCTGAAAGTACCCTTTATCTAACCGCTCACTGTGGTTCCTCCTGACTTATTTAAAACTGATCCACAATTAACTAAATGTCTGTTTTTATCTTGTTTTGTAGAAGTAGTCTTTAACTTAATCTCAGGCCTGAAAACGTCTTAAATTGATTGTATTAATGAAGTTATTTGCATAAATTAGCTTTTTAAATGTGTTCTACGGAGATAATTGGTGTTGTATATTGATCGTACTGTAATAACTAGAAAACGATCTCAGAGTGCGTCCCTAACAGTCTTCACTGTAACCTGTTTAACCCTAACCCCAACCCCAACCTGTACTAACTGTGTGTTGGTCTGCAGCTGGAGGGCGTGTTGGAGCAAAGGTTCCGTCAGGTTCTGCCTCTGGACAAAGCTTCAGATGAAGTGAAGAACGTCGCCGACGCCCTGCAGACAAAGGTAGGACACCACACACACACACACACACACACACACACACGCTGCAGGGTGAGTGAAAACACAAGTCTGTAGTTGTCTGGTGAAAACAGGAAGTACAGGAACCAGAAGATGTGAGGTTTGCACTCGACACGGGTTCTATTCAACAACATTAACGAGAAGCCAAAAACAGATTCCAGCCGCCATCAAACTGTCTCGTATCCTGATAAACTGTCGGACCGGTTGAAGCTCAGCAGTCACCAGCTGCTGTTGACAGACCAGTTTCCCAGAATTCCTCCCGTTCGTTCCTCTGGTTCGCGAACTTTGAATATAATCAACTGAACAACTACAACAATAGATGCGACGTGCACAGGGGCTGCTCGGAACAACAAACCCGTCCGTGTTGGTGGGAAAGGGTTAAGAGGAGAGCCAGGTGTGTCCCGGTGACGTCTGATTGGCTGACAGGTGTGTCGCCTGGCTGAAATGCAAAACCCGTGGCGTGCAGGCAAAAGGAAGTGGATTATTTTACTTTCATGTAAATCTCCTATCTGATGCTGCTCCGTCAGTTATTTGTGACTTCCTGTTCTTAAAGAGAAATTCTGGACTGGATTTAGCCGAGGCGCCAAAAAGAGGAACCGATGAGAGTTCCTTTTTAAAGGAGTCGTGTATAAACTTTATAAACCTTCACTTTAACCACTTCATGTTTTATCTCCAGTCAACATCGGTTTCTATGGGAAGGTTTTATAAAGCTGTAATATATAAAGGTTTTTTTTTTTTTGTATCTTTTTACTGTTTTATTTGCTCTCATAAAATCAGCAGTTGTGGAAGTGATGCTGAGATCCCCTGTACAGGTTATATAAAGCTAATAATATAATGAGCTTCCTTTAGCTGATATCAGTGTTTACATTGAAACAGCAGTACAGTGGCACAGGTCAGAGTCTCTCTCGTATCAAAGGAAACCTTTAACCTCCTGTGTCGCACTGACTGACATTTATTTGCTTTCTGTTGCTGCTTCACAAACACCACCATTCATTTACATTGTTTAAATTCAGTGCTCTCAGAAATCAATCTCTCTTATTTCTTTATGAGACTTATTCTGCTGTCAGGAGACGCGTCCTTTTTTAATTCTGAGTATCTGCTGAGTCCCAATCTGACAGTTTCAGAAGTACATGAGTCAATCCAGTGTATCTGAGCAGCTCTGCCGCTGTTCCACTTACAGTGCTGTGTGGTTGTGCCGGGTCAATACCGCTCCTTCCTCACCCACAGGGAAACTCCACCAGAGCTGACGGTGCAGCAAAACCTCATGAATAAAAACGGCTGAAAATAAAAATCAGATCGGGTCAATAAAGCTCAATACAGCCGATATTGATCAGCAGAGAGATCACTGGAGGAGTTTCGAACCCTTCAAATGATTGATTGAAGGAAGAAGAAAGCATGAAACAGTTACAGGACAATTTATTGAGCAAATGTAAAAATAAAACCAGATATTCCAACAGCTAGAACATTGCTTCCTTTTCAAAATAAAATATTTTAAAATGCTATAAACTGACATAAAATACTCCAAGTATTTAAGTATTCAGAGATATTCCTCCTGTTTAACAAAGTTACAGCAGCTGTTTCAGATGTTAATCTGCTCTATCAACCAGAATTAGTGTCTCAGCTAATCAATAAACAGCATCAGAAAACACTGAAATGTCTCCAAATATTCAGTTTACTTCAGACACACCCAGAAAATCAGCAGATCTGCACATTGAACCTCAACTTCTCACATGAAGAATGAATTTATTATAAATAGTTGAGGCAGAAGATTGTAACATGTTGACGTCTTCGACTGTGATCAACAACCTTCCTGTTTATCCGTTCTCTCGCTCAGATGCACTGCTGCGGCCTGTTCAGTTACACGGACTGGGAGGACGAAATCCCCTCCTCCTGTCTGTGCAACCAGGAGGAGGAGATGGAGGGTCTGTGTCAGTCCATAGGCTACATGGTGAGTTTCAAACATTCAGTCGGCCTGAACCGGGTTTTTAAATCCAGTTTACTGACGTTCTCCTTCTTCTCCTGCAGCGCCTCCTGCAGTTGGGGCCCCAAAGGTCCGTCTACACCAAACCCTGCTTCCCCATCATGATGCAGTACTTCCTGCTGATCGCTGACATCGTCCTCGGCGTCGTCTTCACTCTGGCTATCCTGGCGGTGAGCATCCAGAACTTATTTCATCCAAATTAGCTTCTTTGCTCTCTTATAAGCCACACTGGCCTTTAGGTTGATGACTTTTAATGTGAAAGAGGTCCCCTTTAACTCTCCTTCCTGTTTCCCCTCCAGCTGCTCGGCATGACGCTGTCCTCCATCATGATCCACCAGATGCGTTACCCAGAAAGACCCACTCTCCTGATGCATGTCCCCGCCATCTTCACCACTCCTCCTCCCAAATACCAGGAGCTGCACAACCCTCCGGAGTACTAGAGGAGCGGTTCGCAGCGGTTAGCTGCTGTTAGCTTCCAGTACAGGTTCAAGAAGTGATTGTGTTGTTTTCTCTGTTTAATTCTTGAATTTGAGGCGATATATGCAGTTAGAGGGCCGCGTGTCCAAAGTGCCTTACGTCACCATGAGGGGTCCGACTGTCGGCTCCAGTGGGATCAACGGGAACGCTGCTGGTTTCTTTTTCTAATGCGTTACTCATTTTAGTTTGGTGTAGATTGAAGCTGATTGGTCGGTGCCGTTATGGGGCGGGGCTTGTATATTTGTCAGAAACTGTTGAGTTTTAATTTTCCTGTTTTTCTAATCTAATTTCACTGTTCAACAAAATGGTTGTTTTGAGAGAGACGGAAAGAAAAGCTTTGAGGGCGAAAATCATTTACTCCAAATTTTGACTTTTTCCCACCGACGAGGATTCAGGACATAAATAGCACAAAGATTAATTTCTCTGTTGAAAGTCACAAGGTTAATCTGTAAAGTCAGACATTTTTGGTCTGAATGAGACCAAACCTGTGAAATTTGTGACTTTAATTGTGAAAAAAACACAATCTCTCAAGATATTTGGTATCTTTAAATAAGAGAATTAGTGCGTATCCCCCCCCCTCCCAGTTTAAAGCTGATACAGAAACACATTAGAGCCAAACTCCATTTAAAAAAAGTGACAATTTTAAGTTTACGTTTAACGCCCTCTCTTGCTTTTCTTTACGTTCCACACAAACTTCAGAAACGTTTCAGATTTTAGTTTTTGTACTGTAAAGGTCACTGCTGTAGTTCTTCCTAATTCTTATTCAGCAAATGGCCTTATAGTGATTTATAAAATACCATAAGTGCCAAAAATACAGCTTGCTCTGCACTTGAATAAACCACTGGAACTGCAATATTTTTATTTTATTGAGCTATTTTTGACAGCAGAAAGCTGTAGAATGTTTCTTAAACCTGGATCCAGCAGTTCACCCTCGCCTCCGTTACAGTCACTTATTTTCTATATACACACATATATTTTATTCTGTGTTTATGTTAGTGAATGTCACTGTGGGTCTTTCTGTTACTGTCATCACTCATCTACATTAATCCTTTGATTGTATGCTTAAATCAACCCTTCATAATCTACATTTCCAGTATGTCAGAAACAATGGGGAGATTTTATTTTGAAAACTGACGAAGCTTTCGGGGTTGTCCTGCAGAGGCTGCGAGGTTCAGTCCAACTAAAATATATTTTTTTTTATATTGAGTAGTGTATAAAAGGTGTTTTGAAGAGAATAAATGAGTGATGTGAAACAGGAGAAAAGGGATTTATTCTTCATGTTTTTCATTTTCTTTGTATCACGTTGGATTCTCTGTGCTGAGGTGATTCTGTTGATTCCCAATGACTTAAAGAAATAAACCCGATAAAAGAAACTGCTTGTGTGTCTGAAATACTGTAATAAAGTCTTTTTACTACTTTAAATGTTTAACATTGAGTCAAAAGGGTCAAACCAAACACTGACTGTAAGGTTTTGTGTAGTTTCTCCTTCAGGTTTGGTCCAACAGTTGAACAAATGTTAGCAGCTAACAGGTAAACTTTACACTTGATAAACATCAGCACGTTTTACAGGTTAATTAATGTCACCTGCCCCCAATGGCAGAAAGGTTATTATAATAATATTCTAAGAAGCAGTCAGTCAGGGTTACTTTATATATTCCATATTTCTGCTTCCAGGTAACACTGACTGTTTATAATGAAGTGTTCTTCAGTTGGGTCAGAAGTGGTAGAAATGTTCTGTGGCAGGTCGTTAGCGCTCTCTGGTGGACAAACTGGGTAATGTTTCCCAATGAGCTCAAACACATGCAACATATTCAGTCGGGTTATAGATATTCAATCTCTACAACACAATTATATCCCTATTAAAATCCTTAGTAAATGCTCCCTACAGGAGAAGGCTGCTGTTCCCACTCTGAAACAGTTTTTTCTGACCATACAGGACAGAACTTACAAACGGTCATAAGACTGACTACATTAATTCGGCCACATCCCATAAATAACAGTTCAAATTAAATAGAATTTATTTTAGTTTACAGAAAATTTATCTTCTAGAAAGATTAAATGTTCTTTGCACAAACAACTAACATCAGTGTGCAGATATTGATCAACCAGACAGATTATATTTGATCATTGACAGGCTGTATGTGAAAATAACGATCACCGCTGTTCCACTGTGCAGATGATAAACTCTGTGTCACACAGTTTATCCAACTAGCAGTCGGGTTTCAAACTAAACACGCACCCAGGTTTAGGTGATGTGACAGGAGCTACTTTCCAGGATAATTTACTCACTTTTAATCAACTTCCAGGTGTTTCCATGACTGGAAAACCCTGAAACAACATGTTAGTTTGTCTCTAAATACCATGTGACTTCCAGCGTGCGGCTCCAAACCCGACTGGTTCCCACTAAAGACATAAACCTGTAACAACACCTCACAAATATAAAGTGTGATTTACAAAAAGGAAACACTTTTGCTCTCTGTATCTAAAGTTTAAATGACATTAAGGCTTAAAGTTGTGCATCATTAAGGGCGTGGCCGCTTTGAGTGACAGGTGTCAGTCTTCAGTAACCAGGCTTCTGCTGACCCAGTGGATGGTAGGAACCCGATCAGAGAGAGGAAGAGTGTGAGGAAATAACGACAATGTGTGCGACACCTCCATGCGTTGTGTAAATCGTTATAATTGTTCTATAATCTTTACAAAAACACTTTGACACTAGCAGTTTAAAAAATTACATTTCCAAAAAGTGCGCTGATTTTTTTTTTTTTTTATCCTTTTCAACCACATTTTTCTTTTCTTCCCATTTTTCCATCATGAACAGAACAGCGTTTAGTTTTTAGATTATTCCCAAAGGCAGATAAAATGTCCCGTATGTTTGATGGGGGGGGGTTGTACAATAAGCAGAGGGATTAATGAGCTACAGGTCCTGGGGAGGGACGAAGAGTAGAAGTACAGAAAGAACACAGAAAGACTTTGTACAGATTTCCATCACGTGAATATAACTTATTAAATAAACGCTGTTCAGTTTTTTTATTCACCATTTCTTTTAAAAGAAAAACAAAGAAAGCTGTTACAGAAATCAAACATGCACGGTATTATTCCTCTGTCCCGGTGTGTGTGTGTGTGTGTGTGTGTGTGTGTGTGTGTGTGTGTGTGTGTGTTTTAAAACTCATGTAGAGGAAGAGGAGGAGGACAAAGGAGCAGCTGCACAATATCCAGAAAGCTGTTGTTACGTTTTAGAGCTGAAACTATTCATCAATTAGAAAGAGAATTCAATTCATTCACAAATATTTTAAATATTTACGTCATTTTTCAGGTAAAAATGTCAAAAATAAGCTTTTTAAATTTGAGGATTTGCTGATTTTTCTTTCTTTGTAAATTAAATATTTTTGGGGTTTCGAGGACAAATCGACCAATTTAAAGTCGTATTCTTCGGCTCGTTGACATTTTATAGATTTCTGATCGATTAACTGACAGAGAATAAATGTTTCTGTCCAACTGAAACACAAACACATTTTAATCAACGTTTACTGACGTAGTTTAAAAAAACTGAGCTGTTTCTCAAAATGATTTATAATCCAGATCAGAGCTGAACATATTTATATATAATGAATCAGTTCAGAGTTTCTTTCTCTGTTCGATATCTTTGTAAACTGACTTTAAGTTTTGGAGTGAAGCATTTTGGCTCTTTTTCATTATTTTCTGACATTTTATAAACTAAAAATTATTCTTAATTAGTTTTAATAATTATTGTTTGTCGCTCTAATATTGTTGAATGAGATGTTTTGAGATTTGCTGTTAATTTATTAATTTTAATTTCTAAATCTGGTTTTATTAATCGATTAATTGATGGATGGAAATGAATCAGTTTCAGCTCCTCAGACGTAAAGATTGTGTCTTTATTCATTTATAACTTCCTCAGGTTTTAGATAAATAAGACAAACAATAAACCATTAAACTGTGATACAGAATCAGTTCAGTGTTTTTATGTTCATTTGATCTTATTGGTTATTTATTTTAATCTCTGAATCTGATTTGAACAAAGTGCAGTGGTTTGTTTTATTTCTTGTTTTTTATGATTTCCTGTTCATGTACATTATATTTCTTCACTTTGTTTAAAAATAAAGGAACAACTGAATGGAGTTAAAGAGAAAAGACTTTTGCAGCTTTTATAAATTAAAGTGTGCAGACGTCGCACTGTTTCAGCTCTATATTAATAAAACTGTCTGTACTCTGACCTCTGACCCTGGACAGATATCTGTGTGAGAGATGGAGGATAAATTCTGTGTCGGGTTCGTTAATAAAGTCCAGCTGAAGCTCTTCTGAGGCGCCAACAGTCTCAATCGAACGGGAATCTTTCAAACTTAAAGTCTTTTCAGCTCAAAATTCACACGTTTCCTCACAGCAGGCGTTTTATTTCGGAGGTTTTGGTCATCTTACTAGCTTTTCCAGGTCTTTTAACACCATCTCATGGTCTTCAGATGAAGAGCGGCGAGTCTCAGCTGATTTAAGTTCCATACTTAGATCACATGATCACGAGGGATAAATATCGGGACAGATCATTATTTTTATATTGTGAATTATCCCAATAACTAATAAAACAGCTGATTCATTATCAGTATTTTGAATTCTTTATGCTCTATGAAAGCCAAAGTCTGTTTATGAAGTCAGAACTGTTGTTTGTTTGTTTGTTGTTGTGTAAACAACGGTGATGTCAGGTAGATTTGGTCAGAACGGAGCTGTTGAATATTAAATCATTTTCTTAAAGCTTTTCTTGATGTTTGCACTTCATTCTGTCTCTTTTCCTGCATTTGAAATATCATTTTCTTTACATAAACACAAGATAAACACACATTTTGCATTAATGGTGTAATTAATCACCTGTAATGACCCCCAGGACGAAGAGACGCAGGCTGGTCTGTCTGACTGTTGAAGCCTCATTTAAACTCAAGAGGAACTTTAAACCCTCCATCTCTGTACACACAGCGTGCATTAACATTAATACAGACCTGAAGTTGGACTTTGATCCAGCAGGTGGAGCCGTTTTACCACAAACTGTCGGCCTGCTGCTCCTCTGGGTTAAAAACAGGAAATATGTTTATATTTATAGATAAATATGATTAATGGAGGTTTATACAGTGTGTGTTTGTATGTCTGGATGCATTTTTATCCCAAAAACCATAAACATAATAAACCTCTGCTGAAGTCTGAGCCTGTTCTGTCCTTAAATAGAGCGAGAGCTGTAGGTTGGAGGAGGTGTAGTGGCCGTCAGTGTTTCTCAGTTAAAGACTAATACAGGAAATGATTCTCTCGTTTTAACCATAAGTTACTTTATTTTGGAGGGAACAATGATTGCTTTTTTCTTTTTTAAATGTGATTTCCCATGCTCCTTAGCAGCAGAGGCGGCGCTGAATGAACACAGCAAAAACCAAAAAACTTATTTTAGGATTTTAGAGGCGACCAACTGGACGACAGAGACACTGTGTGAATATAACGTCTGCAAGCATGTATGACAGAGCGAGAGTGTGTGTGTGTGTGTGTGTGTGTGTGTGTGTGTGTGTGTGTGTGTGTGTGTGTGTGTGTGTGTGTGTGTGTTAGCCAGAAGAGCAGCATCCTCCGGCGGGCGTGGCTTGTGGTTCGTCGTCGACGATCTGTACGCCCCGCCTACTCGATGCTGACTGGCTGGCGCCGTTGCCCTTCAACCTCTCCTCAGCCTGAGCCGTCTCCATCATCCCTGAGAGCACAAAGAGAGCGAGAGAGAGGGAGGCTGAGACACCGGCTCACACCGCTCTTCATCACAGTCAACAGGGCTCCCCTTTCCAGGACCTTTTCCAGGACCTTTTTCTCGATACAGGACAGCACTTGCTCACAGACAGCAGTCACTGTTTAATGGAGACTCTGTGTTTGACTGTTTCTCTGACATTAATTTGGCCACAGCTCAGACTAACCCACCATTAAAGATTTCCAGGACAACACAGATTATTTCCAGGATATTTGCTCATTTTAATCATTTTCCATGACAGGAAAACTACTCTGTAGATTCCCAGGTTTTCCAGGACGTGTGGGCCCTGAACAATAACAATAATTCACTAGAACACACTTTACGATGCTTTCCTTTAAAGACGTCGGTTACTTTGTGATATTAACTCAATCTCAAACCGTCCAGCTTTATTGTTCCTATTTGAGAAAATATCAACGGTACAGTTTGAGTTTATAGGTGTGTGTGTTTGTGTGTTCAGGTCTTACTTTTACAGAGATCCAGGAAGAGCTCCTCGATGCCTTTATTTAACTTGGCTGATGTGTGGTAGTGTTTGGCTCCCACCGACTCTGCGTAACTGCACAGGAAGCAGAGAGAAAGACGAGTAATGAGCACGCTCAGATAACTGTGCACCACGACGTTCCTCTGACGGTGGAGAAACAATCAATGATCAGTGTGTGTGTCTGTGTGTGTTTGGGGCTTCTCACCTCTCGGCCTCCTCCACTGAAACATGTCTGTCTTTGTCCAAATCAATTTTATTACCTGCAGAGAAAAGAAAGCAGACGTTCAGTCCCCTCCCCAATATGGCGGCCGTGCAGACGTGATGAGCTCTGCGTCTCTATATGAATCTGAACTGTGCAGAGTTAAAGGAAAATCACTTTGAACGCCGTCTCATGTGACTTTATTAAAAACTAAATCTCATTATCAAACAGCAGATTCTGTAACTGCTCTCACACTACCAACGGGTCCAAACACATGATGAGCAGAACAACAACAACATAATCCAGTTAAACACACAGCAAATGTCCCTCACATGGACAAATGACTTCATATTTAGAAGCTATAACAACAAACCCAAACAGAGCCGATCCAAACAGGAACCCTGCTGCTGATAAACCCTAAAATCCATTCATCTGTTCCTCAAACTGGACTCTCTGGATTCAACTGGATCGCCGTCCAGCTCAGCCGCTGCGTCTACAATAAGTTATCTAATATTTAAAGACGTCCATCCCTTAGTTATGCTGCTATAGGCCTAGACTATCGGGGGATTTCCCATGGTGCACTGAGCTCCTCTCTTCCTCTCTCTTTCTGCACTCATTCATGTTCCATTAATGCATGTTACTAACTTCACTTCTTCCCCGGAGTTCTTGTGCTTTCTCGTCTCGCAGGTTCTCATGGATCCTGGTGGAGCCTCCTACCATGGTCCTGCTAGATTGCCATTACCAATACTGTTGTTGTTGTTGTCTGTCTGTCTGTCTGTCTCCTTTATTTTACGTCAGCTGTCACACAGATGTTTTCTCATGCTCGGTGCAGCCTCCGCTCACCACGCCGCTGCAAGAGCAACATGAGCCCCGCGAGCAACAAGCCAATAATAGTTTATTATAGTAACGTAATAATGCAACCGGCACAAAAGACGTACAGACGAGGAAAACAAACACTGCAGAATACAGTTTGTTCAGGTAACTCAGGTACTGTAGCTAAATAATCCCCATGGTGCATCACTCCCTGCTTTATCACACTGTCACATTTCCATGAGGTTTGTATACAGATCTCATTCACACTGAAGCCACGCCTCCTCTTCACCGCCAACAGCCGATAACTTACCTACTATACATAAACAAATCTCGTTCCCCAACATTTTCCTCAACTCTTTCACCCAGTTCTTCACCTGCAACGACAGAAACACATCAGAGGAGGATCGGGAGAGAAAGGAGCGTTAATGTCATAGAAGAGGGTTTAAACAGGTTGAATTTAAGGCTTTTGTAGACAACATTAATGCAGTTTAAGACTTATCTTACTTTCATATTGGCAAAAAAATAGTTTTGTAGTAGTTGCAGCATGATCAATACCCAAAAATAGTTAAAAGCAGAAGTGAAAAATGAAACTTTAATCAAGTAACTAACTTAACTTCATTAATCCAATCATATTTTAAGAGCTGTCAAAATCTTATTTAAAGTATTTTAAGGCTTCGAGAGGCTCGGATTATTGGATTTTAGACTCTGTAAGTAGTAAAAGGATTCAGAAAACAGCTTCAATAAATAAAAAGATAAAGCCTTCACAACATGTCCCCCCTTGATGGATCTTCATCGGGTCAGAACGTTTGGAAGACTTGAAACCAGACACATATTTAATTATATTTATACATTAAGCAATAGGCTGATCAGCTGTATGGTGGCAGGTGTGGTTAATTAATCCAACCAGGGTTAACAAGAACAATGTATAACACAATCAGGTCTGTAGAAATGTAGAAAACACCCAGCTGTTACCTTCTGAAAGGAGTCTTCGTCTGTAATGTCGTACACTAGTACGGCTCCATTTGAGTCTCTGTAGTAGATGGGACCTAACGCATGAAAACGCTCCTGACCTGCTGTGTCCTGCACACGCACACAGACACAGACAGACAGACAGACAGACAGACAGACAGACAGACAGACAGACAGACAGACAGACAGACAGACAGACAGACAGACAGACAGACACACACACACACACACACACACACACACTCAGGTTCATATTATAGCTCCAGTTCACTGTATGTGTGCAGTATGAAAGCAGTAACAACTCTTACCCATATGGCCAGGTTAACTCTCTTTCCTGTGATGTTGAGCTTCTTTGTGAGAAAGGACGCCTGCAGAGGAAGAGGAAGAGGAAGAGGAGCAACAAGGATTAATATCAGGTTTTAATAATTAAACAGGTTAAATGTGCAATTGTAATCAAAACTACGGAAGCTCATTTCTGCCAATGTGACGAAAACAAAAAGGATTCTGTTTGTTATTGAGAAATAATCGTTCTTTTGTTTCTTTCTCGTCATTAATTGGCTGATCAATACGCAGATATATCGATTCAAAGCTGTTTTAATTTAAAGACTTCGAGTAGAAACTGATTAGAAAGATTGAAGTATTTTGTCCTATAAGACAAAGTAACAAGTGTAGGGCTGCAAATAAAGATTATCTTCATTATTGATTCATCTGTTGATCTGTTTAGTAATTGATCAGTTAGGATTTAACTATCACTGCGCCTCAGTACAGCCTCACACAGCTGGTGGCATCACTGACAGTAAACATATCACATATTAAACACATAATAATAAATCAACTAACTGAAGGATCATTAGCAAACATTTTAAATCACCTTCCTCCTCTAAGGCAACGTGATTGCCTGTAATGTGACCTTTGACCTCTCCACTGCGGGACTAGTGGAGGTCCTGAGGGATTAACATACTGCTGGACTTACTTTTAATCTCTCTGGAGTGAAGTGACTCACATCTGAATAACTCAGATGTAAAAATAAACGGTTTACTATCTTCTACACAGAGTTTATTTCCCTCTAATGTTCATAGTAGCTCACAATATGCTAATCAGAACTTTAAAAATACTACTATAAGTATTATTTTAGCAAACTTGAGACAAAATGTCAGCCAAAGTTCACAACATAGAAGTATTGAAACATGTTTGTGTGATATGTTTTGTGGTCATTCAGGTACTTTAGACAGTATTCTTACATTAGATGCTGTTTCTCAAATACAATGCGACTACTGAAAGCAGGAACTGGCTTTAAATGCTTCATCCCGACTGTACGCCGACGGGATAACTGTGTGTTTCATGCTGGGATTATCTTCATTCACAGGCTCTCCGGCAGACAGAGACGCAGTGAGGAAGCCGGAGAGGTCGAGATAACAACATATTTGTATTTTCAGACCCTGACAGGCGGAAGTTTACACGCCAGATCAGGGAGGAAGTGAGAGAACGATACGCAAAGTCATGAAAGAAAAGTAGTATTCTTTAGAGGAAAGCTGATCTATAAATGTGTAAACTGTTGAGTCTTTGTGCCAGAGAACGGCCGTCGGTTTGATTCCAGCCTGTAAACTGCGACAGACTCCAGCAGTCGGTCCGATAACAACCCCGAAAGGTTAAAGTCCGTCTGGGTAGAAGGTCGAGTTCTTGTGATTTATTGGACGACTCGGTGGGAAAGTGAAGCTCAAGGTCAGGATTAAGATTCAATGTCAACAAACAGAAATGATCTGAAGGCTCAGACACAGATTAATGAATATTATAATAATAATAATAATAATAATATGTGGTTATGTAAAGGAATGAGTCGGCAGCTGACTCTGTGCTGCTCTAAACTACAGCTACTGTTTACTTATTTACCTCACTGTTATTGAATTAGTTTGTAATGTATTTCATATAATACATGTTTTTATTAATGCTAGCATAGTTTTATTTCCAACATACCCACCCTGTATATATGCATTACATTAACGCACTCCCGTTTCCTAATTCAATTCAATTCAATTTTATTTGTATAGCGCCAATTCATAACAGAAGTTATCTCAGGACACTTTTCAAATAGAGCAGGTCTAGACCGAACTCTTTATCTTTATTTATTTATATTTAAAAAAGTACTTTATTTTCATTTTATATTCTATGCACCAAGACAAATTCCTTGTATACTTACTTGGTAATAAACCTAATTCTGATTCTGTTTTATTTCTATTATCTTATATTATTGTTGGATATTTTAATTTTGTATTTTTTAAATTGTCTGATTTTATTTGCCTGAAATGTTTTAATCCTGGTTCAACAAACAAAGGTTATAGGTATTTTTATAATATATAAATAATATCTACAATAAAGATATATGCAGGTGGTGCTGAGAGAAAGTCTGTCTGAATAATGACGTCATACTAAATGCTTAAGTCAGACATTCAGGGTTTTTGCATTAATTTAAACAACAGGGATCATTTATATAGTTATTAAACATTTTAGGAGATAAAAAAATGTTTCCTACAATATTTTTCTTTCTTTCTATAAAGAGAAAGTCATTATGAGTGTTTTATAAACTGTCTTCCACATGAACTGACAGTAGAGCTGCTCAATTAATCACAATGTTATATAAAAAACTATATGGTCAAGAGAAAACACCCAAATCACAGCAGCTGCAATGTTTGGGTAAAATAAAATACTGTACTGCTGCAGGCTTACAAATCTTGTTCTCCAGGTTTAAGAAAACATGTCTTCCTGCTACAGACGGCCCAAAAATTTCACATCAACATGATTTTAATCAAAATTCATGATGCAAAAATCATCATTCCCACTGATAGTGAATCACATCGTAATATAATCACAATGTGATGTTTTTACCATAACTTACCTAAGCTACAGTGATTCAAACCAAAGACTTTTACTTAATAAATAAGATTGTAAAGCAGAAACATATAAACTATATAAAATATAAAAGGATATTCTGAGCCCCAGCCTACACACTTCTACAGCTCAGACGCTGAGTCATGGTCAGCAAACATCCCTGATATAAAAGCAGAATAAATAAAGCTTACTGTGCAGCTGTCAGTCTTTATACACGGATGGAAAATAACAACCAGAACACAGACAGTTAGTGACGGTCGAATGTCGCAGGCCGCCGATGCAACTCAAAATGAAACTCATGAGTTGTAGTTATTTCAGCCAGAGGAGATTTTTACTCACATTTGACGACCCGGCACTAATGTGACACAGTGACTCTAAAGCAACTAACATATTCATCCAGGAATTATAAATCCAGGAATTTAACTCACTCATTAAATCTTCCTAGGACTTTTTCTTGTCCTGTCAGCGTTCATCAGAAACACTGTTCTCCCCTTCATGTTTCACAGCAGCCACTTTGACATGAAACAGTAGGGTAAACACAGGTGTTACCAATCACACTAATTAATGCCCACAGTAGGATGCTGGGAGTTAAAGTACAGGTCTCCAAACCAACTATTTCACCACCTTCCCAAGACTCACAAGGCCACAGCGGCACTGACGAGGCTTCCTCCTCATTTTCTGATTATCTGCCTCGACTCAAAATGCTAAATACTTTGCCCGATTGATAGGCCGACCAACTAACTGGTCTATCACTACATACGATATTTTTCGTAATAAATACGACTCCACGTTGTGTCGATCCCGTGTACACTCTGACGCCAAAGCTTTCCACTGTCATTTTGAGTTTTCAGAACAGTTTTTTGTTCGATTTTCTGGGTTTTTTTTGCACCAAACAAAAGAAGCCGTGATACCAAATGTAAGACGTGGACAGAGAGGAGACGAACCTAAGAATAAAACAAGGGAGGGAATGAGTGAGGAGCGAGAGAGACAGCTGCTTTATCAGCAGGTGAAACTCTCCTCGGACTCAGTATTTCCTTTTCCTACTTTCAAGAGAGACGACCACAATATCGTCCTCTTTCCTTGACGACTCCGTCCTGTACTGTGAGACTTGCAGATGCTTTACGTCTTTAGTAAATCCTCCAGATTCTCTCTGGATGAGAGGAAAAATATGTGAAAACATCCACTTTCCACTCTGAAGAGTCTTGTGACAGTTTAATCATGCCGAGCTCGTGCTGGGAGATGACTTATTTTTCCCGACATCCTCTGATCGTCTCATTTAACGCTCAGACGGCGACATTTCATTTGAGCTGTGGAGAATCTCTGCAGCCGAGTAAAGAAACTGGATCTGCAGCGCAGTAAATCTCACTTCAACCAGCTCTGAATTAAGCATTTTATCTTCCCGCTGCAGCCCCAGAATGCACCTCTGGGCTGTGGGTCACGTGAGTGAGCGTAAACGGCGTCTGAGCCCTGCAGATATATCGAAGGAGTGATCAAGTCATCCCCACACTCCCATGATCCCCCGTTTCCTGGGTCCTACAATCACAGCTGAGGCAATGAATGAAACTTCATTCATTACTAGGAACGACCTTCGGACCCGACGTCTTCATCTATTCATTTACTCCCTCGGTCTGCTCTGTGTACTTTATATGGTGACCGGAGGCAAATCTCAGACCAGAAACACAGTCAATGTACCAGTGACTGTTCCTTGAACTTAAATTCCTTTCATTAAAAACATTTAAACGTCAGTTTAATCACCACAAATTCTTTATTATTGACTCAATGTGTCATTTTAAGATCACTGAGTAAAACTAAATATCTGTATCAGTCATAAAAATGCATCCTATCACAGTATATTGCACACAGAGAGAAACTGTAACGTTTCAGTATCTTCCCCCCCGCCGTCACTTTAACCTGAAGGCAAACTGAACGTAGAGATTTGGGGGGGTGTGAAGCTGCGAGTATGCAAGAGCTCTGCCGATGACGCAACTGACATACTCCGAGGTGTTTGAACGCAACACCGGCTTACACAACCGCCCCCAGCTCTGTGAACACGCTGTGGAGGATCGATTCGGCTGTAAGTCATTATTGATGCTCCGTCTCTGGCCGCTCAGATGGAAACGCTGCATCATGCTTCCTGGATCCCCCCCCAACTCACTTTTCTTTCTCCTCAAATGTACAGTCAGACTCAGCGAGAGAGTTTGTGAAACCTGAGCAGAACTTACAGCCCGACTGCCTCTGAGCCTGAAGGGAGATATACAAACACACACACATTTTATCAGCTCTGAGGTCGTTTGCACAACGATACGGGTCAATGTGACGATTACATTTACATCCACACGTGGTATTCTGTAAGTTCGTCGTCCACAGCGAAACTAAACGTTTCAGGTCAGACCAACAGTAACAGAGGTCACTGATTCAACAACTACATGGACGCAGCAGAACCAGAGATATCGGGTTCTTAAGTTCGGTCAGAGACTGTGGTCGGGCTGAGTGGCGTTCAAAAACCTCCAATACCGACACCGATGCCTTGACTTTGGTTCAAGGTTACTTTATTTGTACCCATACGGTAGATCTGCTTCCAGAAACACAAAAACTAAATACAAACATGATAAATAATAAAGATAAAACTGATCCAGACTCGAACAATCCGGACTTATAAAGAGGAACCAATTAAAAAAACACTAAAATAAACAGAATAAATCAGGTGAAAACAGTAAAAACCAGAAAACTTTTGTCCTACGTTAACAACTTATTAATCTGAGCTGCTGGAACGAAGCTATTTCTATATCACCTTGTTGTCCATCTTCAGACTGTAGACCTCCGCCCTGAAGGAAGCTACTGACGGATACTTTATTCAATACCAACTTCCTAAAATAAAATGACATTACTTTACATTAAACAACCGACAACCAGGCCGATCACACGCTGATGACATTCGCTCTCTAGCTTTGGAAATTTGGCACCGAATGAAAGACGTTTCTTTTGTTTGGTACCGAGCTTTAGATTGGATTGTGCTATGCTAGCTGCAGCTAATGTAACCTGCAGCTCCGGAGGTCTGTAAGATAAATTCTCTCTTTCTTTCTCTCTCTTTCTCTATTTCGTTCTCTCTCTCTCTCCTTCTTTCTCTCTTTACCTATTTATTTCTCTCTCTCTCTTTACTATTTCTCTTTATCTCTCTGTCTTCTCTCTCTCTCTCTCTCTCAACTCCTGGAAATCAATATAATGCCACCAACAGGGCGTCGACCCTCCTCATCATTATTGATTACTGATTATTCTGTCAATCAGAATCTGTCTGCGCGTCCAAAAGATCTTCAGTTCCCGAAGATATAAAACAGAAATAGAAAGTGAGCACCTGTTGGTGAGAAAAAAAAGAGGAAGTGAAACTGAAACTTAACTTATATTAAGCAACAATTACTCCATTTAAGTTGGTGAAACTCTGTGGTTTAACTGTGAACATCCCATAATAACTGATTCTTTACCCATGTATGACAGTGAAGTCAATATCTCTGGGTTGTTTCCAGAGTAATGGATGAAGGGAGAAAACGACTGATGGGTTATTACTGATGCTTTAACACATAAAGAGCATTAATGTTTATTTACTGTTGGACAGTTTAATGGTTAACACAACACGGGTCACACTCTTCTAAAGAAATCATTTTCCAGGTGTTTCCAGGATTTTCCAGGTTTTCCAGAACGCGATGGACCTCTGATAACATCATATTTGATCAAATAATCATGTTTTATAGATCTACAGACATTCTTTGTTTCCCTGGCACAAAAATAAATATCTGTATCAGCCAAACTGTTATTTAACACATCACAATAGATATTATATTTATATATTTCTCATTATAATGATTCAGGATACGAGCTTCCACAGTTACAGCTGCAGGTTCAATATTGTTTTTAAGAATCGATCACAAACTAAATATACAACTAGTAGTATTAATAACATTATAATATATTACTTAAATTATATTATATTAATAACATTATATTATATTAATAACATTATAATAATAATATATTACATTAACATTATAATATATGATATCAATAATATAATACATTATATTTAATATATTATATTAATAACATTTTACTATATTATATTAATAACAATATATTATATTAATAACATTATATTATATTACTAACATTATATTATATTAATAAAATTATATTAATATAATAACATTATATTAATAACATTATATTATATTAATAACATTATACTATATTACATTAATAACATTATAATATATTAATAACATTATATTATATTAATAACATTATATTATATTATATTAATATTATATTATATTACTAACATTATATTATATTAATAACATTATATTATATTATATTACTAATATTATATTATATTAATAACATTATATTATATTATATTACTGTAACATTAGAATAATGACATTAGGACGAGCAGCAGGAGATTATTACCACAGACTCACTGACACTCGGCGGGTTTTATGTTCAGAATTTAGGCCATTTAATTATTGATGAGATGAATATTGATTATCAGCAGTCTGTGTGTGTGTGTGTGTGTGTGTGTGTGGGGTGGGGGGTAGTTCACCTCGCTCACCCGGGATAATCCCGGCTAGACGGGCTCCGATTTCAGCCACAACATCGGCTCTGTGTCGCAATATAAACCCCGCTCTCCCGGGACGGCCCGGTACACACACACACACACACACACACACACACACACACACACTGTAACACACACACACACACACACTTACACACACACACACACACACACACACACACACACACACACAGTGACAGCTACCCCCCCCCCCCAACACAAACACCTCCACCAGCTCTGATTCCCAGAAACACCCTCTGAGGCAAGTTAACCCAACCTAACCCGACCTAGTTAACCCGCACTAGTTAACCCAAGCCGACCCAACCCGAGCCGAGCCGACCCTTACCTGTAGAGTTGTGATGTGTTTGTCGTTGAACTTGTTCTCGCAGTACCGGAGCACCAGAGAGGTTTTCCCCACGCAGCCTTCCCCCAGTAACACCACCTTGAACGAGTAGGTCCTCCCGCCCGTCCCCCCCGCAGCCATAGCTGGGCAGTTAGTGAATACAGGATCTTTCTTTGGGGGGGGGGTTCTTGTTTTTCTTCAATCAAAACAAGCGTTATCAAGCTAGCGCTGCTAATGCTAGTGCTAACCCCGTCGGAAGTGCGTCGCTCACATCGGCTCCAACCGCTGGATCAGGACGGAACCACCGCGACAGCACCAGCGAATGTGACCCTGATCGATACCTGCCGACAGGTGAGCGGGAACCGGCTCTAACAGCGAGCTACTTCCTCTTCCAGCCTAATGCGACCGCTGCTCTTCACCAGACTAATGGCGTCTCTCGGAGCTAACAGTTAGCCGGCTAGCTCCGCCGAAGATCGTCTCTGTACCTGAAGATGAGTCACTTCGTTCTGTGAGCACAAGGCGGAAACATCCGCCTCTTTTTAACGTATTTCCTGTGTCCGCCCTTTACACTACATACTCTCTGAAACGCGATTTATGTCGTAAGGCTTTATTGAAAGCCGGAACACGACACTGAAGCCCTCCGTGTCTTTCATTAAACGGTCGGACTAAACGGCGTTGAGCAGCCCGGAGATGGTGCTCCAGAACCGGGAGCGGAGTGAGAGCTCCGCGCTGCCGCCGCCTCCTCTCTGCAGTGTCACATGATGAGAGGGGTCGGCTGCTGGGGGTTTCTGATGTTGGCCCATCAAACAGCAGACACATCGTTACAGCTCATCATGGGATCATCCTCCTGCAATGTGCTCTGTGTGAACTCAATCCATCCACATGAGATGTTGAAATGTAGTTTGTGTTAGTGTTATTTTACAGGATGCAGAATAATAATAATAATAATAATCAGAGCAGGACAAATAATCTATTCATTCAGCTTCCTTCCTCTCAGGTGACACAGGAGACATGGCAGGTAAGGACAGCAGGGGTCACAGGTCATAACCCTGATTGACCCCAATGCAAAGTGCTTACAAGTATTTTACTTGTTGGTAAAAACATGTTTTATTTCTTCTTTAAAGTCCAGTTTAAACACGACGACCTGGAGTGGTCTGTAATTTCCACATTATCTCCCAGACGTCTCCTGATAATAACTATGTAACTTCTATTAGTGAACATAGAGACCGTGTTCAATAAATTCTAAATCAATAACTCTAGTAACTTAGTATTTTAGTGCACAGCAGGTCAGCCGTACATTACTCATTAACTCATAAAGGAGCTACAATCAGATCGATTGGGGGGGGGTTCAATATCAGGAATTAATGGACAGTGTGGTGTCCATTAAATCCTGATAATGGACACCATAAAGGACATTATTCTATTATTCTGCTTATATCATGGTCACTTGCCAAAGGAAAAAAAGGGAATTAATGTATATTTCTGTTCATTTTGAAATCAAACTTTTTCACAGGCCATAACTCCGTTTCCTTGGTAACACCTGAGGGCTTGACTAATACCTGAAAGCACCATCACCATCCTATACGGTTCTTATGCAATGGAAATGTTGTTCACTACTATATTCTATTCTATTTTATTTATTTTATTCTCTTTTCTTTACTCTTTGCTCTACATTCCCCTGTGCTGCTGTGCCTGTATTTCCCTCACAGGGGATCAATAAAGGAGCATCTTCCTCCAGTTAATAGACACAACCACCAGCAACTCGCCTCTCATAGAGCCAATGTTACGCTACAGTTGTACTGTACAATAACTGACTAACTATATCAATGTCCTCAAATCAATATCAGGACTGAATTGGTAATTGAAATTGAGACTGAAGAGACCTTTTTCACAGCAGCCATTTTGACATGAAATAATAGGGTAAACACAGGTGATGCTAATTAAGATCAGACCGAGTCAGGGTGCTGCTGGAAAGGCTCTGCTGCACTAAATGGAGCCTTAACTAGTATCACCTGTGTTTACCCTACTATTTCATGTCAAAATGGCTGCTGTGAAAAAGGTGTATACAGCGAAAGGGGTCTGTCCTACTCAGTGAGGTCATACGGGCGGTGTACTGACTGCAGCTTGGGCGCCATCCTGTGGCGAGCAGAGGATGAGTTCACTCAGGGATTATTTCATTAGGACATATTAACATATTGTTTTCATTCAGCACATTTATTTAGAACAGGAAACAGACTGGAAGTATTAGGAGGTATTCTATGTCGAGGAAACGTCATAAAAAATACAAATAATGCAGAAAGAAACAAAACATGAGACTGAAGTAATATTTAAAAGAATAAAGGAAAAGTAAATAAATTTAAAGATCTGGGGCTTTCTTGTAAGTCATATTCCTTTATTGTGTTAATGAAGTTTCACTGTGTTTTTGTATAAAATACATTAAACCTAGGTTTTATCTTTATACCAATAAATGTATTTATTAAACTTAAATTTCCCCAGAATAAGAATATTTTTAACCAGAAAGTCGTCTTTGCTCTTGTCCTTGTCAAATAAACAATGTCCTTATGAGAGAGGAGGCATCTCTTCATCAAACGTCATACAATGTAAGATTAGATAAGATAAATATATATAATATATCACAATAGTGTAACAGATAGGCAGAGGGAGAATATATTACAAAAGTTAACGTAACACTTAACACAATCACACTTTTTTAATATATATACACATCTACATCTCTTCCAGTGGGTAATATCTGTAAAACAAATATAAAATATAGTCCAATTGTTGTCTTAATCAGTTGGTGTCCCACCTCATTATAGCAAATTGGAACATCGACACAAAAGATAAGAAAACATATTTCTTATATTTCGTCTATATTTCGCCGGCTAAATATAAAATAAACACAATAAAATAAAATAAATGTAAATTAAAAAGGAACTAATTTCATCCTCTCTTTCCAAGTGTGAAGGAGAAACTACAGAGGCAGCAAAAACACATTAGGTTTGTCCGTTCTGGGCTACTGTAGAAACACGGCGGACTCCGCCAGAAGAGGTAAATAAAAACATCTCATTCAGAGGTAACAAAAACGCAATCATTCCTATATTCAGCTGATTATACACTAATGAAAACATATATACACATGCACACACACACATGTCTGACAATAGATCCTCCTCAATGTTAAACACTGGAGCTTTATAATAACTGTTCATAATGAATTTATGAAGGGTCCTCTGCTGCCCCCCTCAGGAATGTCACAGTAACAGCAGGCAGTAATGAGCAGTCTTTAAACAGCAGATATAAATACACTAATACTTTATATATCATGTGTATGAATAAATAATAAAGCAACTTTCAAATATATTTGCTCCCTTTTTGTCCTTTCTGCTCAAACATCTCTCCACTCATTTCTTCCTTTAGTCAAATATTTACTTTCTCGTTCAGACTTTGTTGTGCAACATTTTTCTTCTTTTCCACAAATGTAAAAAAAAAAAAAGATTAAAGGTTATTTATTGTTATTGCCACATTGTAGTAGAGTATACGGGAACAAAATGTTGTTTGAGGGTGAAGGTGCTAATATTTATATACACAACAATTACTGACATTCATACAGCAAAATTATGATATAGTTAGTTTCCACTCACCCTGTGTAAAAAAACAAGTTTGTTTGAAATAAAAGTAAAAATGCCAAAAGAATAAAAAATATCACATGTACATAAGTATTCACAGCCTTTGCTCAATACTGTATTGAAGCACCTTTGGCAGTTTCTCGTGGTCTGAGAGTCCTTCAGGTGCCTTTTACTGAAGTGTTGCTTCTGTCTGTCCACTCTACCATACGGGCCTGATTGGTGTTGTCCTTCTGGAAGGTTCTCCTCTCTCCACAGAGCAACGCTGGAGCTCCGTCAGAGTGACCATCAGGTTCCCGGTCACCTCCCTGACTTAAGGCCCTTCTCCCCCGATCGCTCAGTTTGGCCGGGCGGCTCTAGGAAAAGTCCTGGTGGTTCCAAACTTTTACATTTACAGCTGATGGAGGCCACTTTGCTCATTGGGACCTTCAATGCTACAGAAATGTTTCTGTACCCTTCCTCAGATCTGTGCCTCAATACAATCCTGTCTCAGAGGTCTATAGACAATTCCTTGGACTGGAAGTTGTAGAAATCAAGTGGAAACCGGATGCACCTGAGCTCAATTTTGAGTGTCATGGCAAAGGCTGTGAATACTTACGTACATGGGATTTTTCCGTTATTTATTTTTAATTAATTTGCGTGTGGAAAAAGAAAAGCGCTGTAAGTAAGCATCGATATTCAGGCAGAATTACATTAAAAAACTTCTCAGTCAGCTGATTGTTCCAATAATTAATTAACTCTAATAGTTAATAAGTCTATTACATTTATGCATAATTCATCAATAATAAATGTTAATGTAAAAATCCTAATTTTGTCTCCAACACTAAAAATAAACAAATAAAGAATATATAATAAAATAGCACCTGAGTGCATAAAACACCCAAAACAAAGAGATCAGTGATTGATTAGTGTGGTCTGACCTTCCTCCTCACTGATTGATTACAGTTCAGATTTATTGGCTGTGAAACAGGATGAAGATCATTAACAGACACCACCGGTTCAAATAATATAATCCAGCTGTCACATGTATTATTTTACTGTTACAAGACAAATTTATCTAGTTATTGATTCTCCCGACCACCAGAGGGCAGCAAAGGGGGCGGTGAAGGGTCTTGAACCTGCATTCTCTCTAACAGCCAGCAGGGGGCGACTCCACTGGTTGCAAAAAACAAGTCTGATAGTATTGAGTCTTATGGAGAAGTTGATTTATGAGCTCAGTAAACAGTTTCCTGATGAGTTTCTGGTCTCAGTCTCTAGTTTCAGTCTTCTTCCATACAGCATGATGTTCATTTAGTAACTGATGGTCCCATTTAGAGTAAAACAGACCATAAAGCAGGGTATGCTTTATGGTCTATTCTACACCCTCATAGGTGTAAACATTAACCGAGCTTTGCAACAGTAATTCATTAATAAGTAATTATTCATTAATTATAATTATGTGAACAGACTGAACTGTCTGGGCCACCGTACAGTTAGCTTCATCAGGAAACTCCATAAATCACCTCGGTACCGCTGTCGTCAAACTGTCTCGGAGGTTGTGTTCACTGGGAGGCTGCTGAGCCCCGTTCAGTTGCACACTAACAGCACTAATGTCAGGATATTATTGGTTGAAAGTTTTTTGTTTTACAGGAAGACAAATTGATTAGATTTTGATATAAGAATACAAAGAAATTGAGTTTTTGTACATTTGTTAGCATAGATTGTTAAATATGGGAACAATATAACTGAGTTAAAATGACATAATTATTTCATTTCTTCTGCACTTTAATGTAACATCATAAAACTTAACGCTTCACTTAATAAAGAGCTCCCTGAAGCTTCAGAAGATGCTGTGAAACCAGAAACATGAGTGTTGCCAAAACAAGAAACTGCCCTCTGCCACGTGCAGGGAGGTGTGTGTGTGTGTGTGTGTGTGTGTGTGTGTGTGTGTGTGTTAAAGGAGGGTGGTGGGGGGGTTAATCCTTTCTCCGCCGCGCCTGGAAAAGCTTCTTCTCTGGCAGATTAATGGAGCACGACGCGCGCTCCAACCATCTGTTCCTCCAGCGGCATCACACCGGCACGAGCGCCTCTTCTCCGGCCTTCAATGAGTCCTTTTGTGTCTTTATGAACCAACACTCAGCTTCCCCTCACAGCTTTCAAAATAAAACCATTAATGCAGTTATGAACTATTGGGCCACTCTCATTTTGTAGCACCGCTGAGTTTTGGCTTTTGGTCTCTTTAAAAATTAAATATCTACTTGTGATTTATTCTCAGATTGTTTATTTTGGAGGCTTAAAGAGATGAAGGCATCCTGTAGTTCTTCACATTAAAAGAGCAAAAAAATGACTTAAGCTTGAAAAAATAAACACATTTTGCAGAAAGTAAGTTTTTTTTGTCTTTATTATCATATTTAATCATCTGGTGGCCCCTTCAGATTTTTTAATTTGTAAATCTTCCAAGCAGTTTTAGGTTATTTATTAATCTTGAGAAGTGTTTTCTGTTGTAAAGATGCACGTCAAACATCCTGTTAAATATCTGCTTATTGACTTTCACAGTTATGACTTCAGACGTTTTCCAAACCTGAAAGTTGAAGCTACAGGTCATAAATTGAGTTCCTCGGTCACCTGTGTGTCCTGTAATCTGGAGTCTTGAAGTCGTTGTAGTTTGCACACTAACAGCAGCGGCTCACACACTGCACAGAAAATGGTTGAAAACAGATTACATCTAACATTTTACTCAATTTTCCACATTAAGAAAACAGTTTTAAGAACTTTTTATGAGGTATTTTGTTTTCACAAAAATAAAACTAAAGCTACTTGATCAAGAATCTTTATTCTGAATTACCATATTGAGTTAGTTTTACTTGTCTGATGAATCAGTTTAAACCATTTTCTTTTTAAGTTAAATTAACTTATCTGGTTTTACAGAGTATAAAATCTTTCAAAAGGAGAAATCTGTTCAGTCTCCAGGAGACATCAGGAGTCATTTACAGAACCATTAACAACAAGAACATCGTGTTTAATTAGGAAAGTAGTTTAAAAAATCTCCATTTACAGCTCCATTAGAAACTAAAGGACAATAACTGATAATGATCCTGATCAGCCAGCCTCAGTAATCAATACACACATGATTAAACCATTAATCAGTCAGCAGTTAATGTCAGACAACTTTATCAGCCTTCAGCAGTTAGTTAGTGTTTCTGTAGTGGAGACTAAACGTTAACAATGATCCATATCAGCAGTTTGAATCCAACTAAAAGCTCCCTGCACCAAACTCCCTTTAAGAAATATCACATTTTAACAATTCCTAACGTGTTCGTAACAACACGTAACTCTAGAAACACGAGCTAAAGGCCGTCACATGTCCACAGTCTGACTGTCAATACGGAATCAATATAATCAATAAAAATAAAGTTTATTCTCTACAAACTTTACATTTTTATCCTCAACCGGTGGAAGCAGACTGTGTGAATGAGGCCGTTTCAATAATTAAGATTTGTCATTAAAATAAGTGCTGGTTGCTGGAGCCTCTTCTCTTCTTCCCCCGAACATTTCAAGGCCTGTTTGACTTATTGATATTCAGTGAGAACTTTATTTGCACTTTCATGAGGTTGGTATTTGACAGTCGGGGGAATTTGGGGATTTTTTAGGTGATTCCCGGCGAAATATTCCGCGTCACAAAAACTCCTCCGATCCGACAGACAGAGAGAGCTTTGAGTTGATTTATTTATCGATCCACAACAGACACACTTCCTTTTAACAAGAACAAACTGGGAGGTAATGTGTGTGTTTATGGGTCTTTATGGAAATATGTTTGCAACCTTTGGACCACAGAGGAAGAATGGAGCAATGCGCTCCGACCACTAGAGGATACTGTTGACTGTGAGAACACTTCTCTTTAAAATAACTCAAACAACAAACTTTACCCCAAAATCAGTTTGGACAAAAGTGGTCAAATTAAAGAAATGAATAAATTCAGTTCAATTGAACAGAGTGAAAAAGCGCAGATGCTCATAAGAGATTAGAAAGTGTTCAGGTTTAAAGAAGCAGCTGATAATGAGGAGGTTGAGTTGATGCTACAGACATATTTTATATGTTTCTTTTATTATTATTATTATTATTATTATTATTATTGTTATTATTATTTGATCGGTTTTTATTATTTTAAGGGTTTTCTTCTTGTTAATGATAAAACTGTGAAGAGACTCTGGACACAATAACTGCATGTTAACACAAAAACTGATTATAAAAAAATAAAATTTACTGAAAAAGAGCAAAAGTGTTGAAGCTCTCAGACATATTCCTTTAAAACAACAAACACTTTTATTGTTGTTATTATTATCAGTAATAATAATAATAATAATAAACAGGCATTTTCTTCCTTTTAATGACAAACCTGTGAAGAACTTTTGGACCAAACAAACAAGACTTGAGCTGAGTGATGTTAAAGATGATCTGACCTCTATTAGAGAGGAGGTTTTTCGGTTAATGCTGTTACATCAGAATCAGCTTTAATGCCTACAATTAAATAAATATTCGGTTTCACCCACACTTTCCCGCCGTGGTGCCTTTTGGTTTTGTAGGCGTCACTAAAAAACTTAAGTTCCCTATTTATACCAGACCCCCCCCCCCTCACTAAAAGCCCTGCTGAAGGAGTTGGCTTGAAAATATCTGTATTGTTTTTTGGACATGCGCAGATGGGAGATGCCATATTGGAAACGGGGGCAGCTGAAACGGAGACGTCGCTCGCGCTGCTGTTGCTCGAGCTCACGCGAACGAGGAGGAGAGGAGCAGAAAAAAAAAAAAAACCCAGAGGGGGGTCTCGAGGAGGAAGAGGCGACATTAAAAAAAAACTTGGGACAGGTAAGACAGGTGACGGAGCGCGAGCTGTTCCCGGAAGGCTTTTATTTTGCTGTTTTCTTATCATCGTTATGTCGACGGAATAAACAACCGGAGTTATGTTGGTTTCTTCTCCTCCTCCAAACCCTGAAGTGCTCTCGAGCTGGTTTCTGTAGAAACGGGAGGAGGACAGTCGCGAGCGGGTTTTTTTTATATTTATTTATTTAGGGGGGGGTGGAGGTGAAGGTGGAGGTGGAGAGAGGGGGCTCGCGAGCACAAGTTGTTTGAAAGTGTCTCTCACGCGCTGTAATTAGCAGCTTTTCACCGGTGGAGAGGGACGCTGCTGCTGTCTCGTGGCACTCTCGGTAATATTACGTTGTTTTCCCTCAGTGTGTGTGTGTGTGTGTGTGTGTGTGTGTGTGTGTGTGTGTTATTAACTGTTTGAGGATCAGTTTTAATAATAATGTGTTTTTCTTTTTTAATGTGAAGTTTTTAATGTTGTTGCGGATGAAGAAGGCAGCAGGAGGTTTTTCCCGCTGTCATTACCGGACACGTGAGTCATTTTTTGGGGGATTTTTTTAAATATTTTATTATTTTTTTTTATTCCCGTCAGGCTGGAAGGTGCGCGTGAGAAGAGCCACCGGAAAATACCGGACACTGTCAAAATGTCACCAAAAAAAAAAAGAAGCAGTTTCAACATGGCGGGTGCTGCGGGAGAGAGAGGGGAGGGGGGGGGAGGGAGGGAGAAACTGCGCCTTCAAAATCTTTGAACGAGGAAAAAATAAAACGACGGCACATAAAAGGCCCGGTTCGGTTTCTTTTGGTGGAAACTAACGAGATTTAATGAATTAAATTCAAAGTGTGCGTTTGGTGGTTCCGTGGGAGTTTTTTTCCGCCGCAGTTGTGAGTGTGCAAAGTACACTACCGAGTTACACCCTCATCTTCCTCATGTGCGTTTCCTCTTTCACTTTATCCAGAAGACAGACACATAAAGCGACGTTATTCTCAGCTTTAAAGGGTCACATGTTGATGGTTTCTCTCAGTTTGTATTGGGTCTCTGCGGGTAAACTCGCGATGATTAAGCAGATAATTGGATTAAACTGTTTAATTATTTCTCTTTTTGCGGGAGGTCTGAAAATCCCGCTCTGAGGATTAAACGGAAACAATACAGACTGTCCGTTATGGAGCCGGTGCAATGAATAAATCATGCTGCTAGACTTCTTCTGCTTGCTCCAAATATCAGAGGGAAGCTGCAGAGGAGCACTTTAAAGGGAGAACATAAGCATTAGGGTAAAATAGATATATCTGATGCTTCTCTCTGATTCAGGTTCTTTATGGTTTGGGGAGTTTTACAAAAACCCAACAGCCATTTTTATCATCATTCATCAGGTTAGGATGAGACATTGTTTGTTAATCTGCTGATTGTTTCCTCACAAAGACAATCAGTGAGTTATAATACAGTCAGGATGCTTCTCTCTGTCTGTCTCTCTGTCTGTCTCTCTTTCTCTGTCTCTCCCTCTGTCTCTCTCTGTCTCTGTCTCTCTCTTTCTCTAATGCTCGGCCTGCAGGCTATTTGAATAAGGGGAGGACTCAGGCAAATACCTTTCCTGCTCTCAGGTTGTGTAGGATGGACGTCTTGTGCAGTGTGTGTGGTGTGTGTGTGTGTGTGTGTGTGTGTGTGTGTGTGTGTGTGTGTTGCAGGAAGTTGTTTCCAGTCTCTGTTGTTGAAATAAAAAAAGCTCCGGGCTGACGGTGTGGATTTTATAGACGTTCTTTGATGGATAAAACCTCTTAAAGCCTGTCGGTTCAGTGAGATTCTACAGAAACAAAGAGCTCCAGAGTATCTAAAGATTAAATGAATGATTCCTAATTAATGTTATATGATAGAAGTGATATTTATTTTGGTTTAAATGAACGGTTTGATTGTATTTCCCGTCTTTGCCGAGCAGTTTTGTGTAAAATGAATTAAAGGCCGGTTGAGTTCGAGTACCAGAATTTTAGCATTTAACACTCGCTACCTCTTTTAATACCAACAGTGAAAATAAAGAGAAGTCCCAGGAACACAAAACAAGACCAGTAGATTTTCTTCCCCTTTGTTTCCTCTGAGCAGCCTCGGGATGAAAATATGACTGTCAACTGTTTCTTTTAATAGCGTTGGTTCTTCTAATACTATCAAATGAAAGCGTTTTATTGTTTTAAACACACAACGTCGGGTTTCGTGATGAAGTTAAACGAAAAATTTAACTAAAAGCTGCTTTTTCACATTATTTTAGACTGTTATCATTACAGTATTTATTCATTCAGTCATTTTATTTTCAGTTTATTTGGGTTTTGCACTCAACAAGAAAGGTATCTAACACAAATACTGGAGTCAGACAACAGCAGACCATACAGTCAGACTAAGACAAGGAAAAAGAGAAAAAACAACAATAAAAACTAAACAAAACACAAACAGAAAACATCCAAATACCAAAACCTTCTCATATGATCTCCAATAAAGTCAATAAAAATTAATGTACAATATTTAAAAAACAGTTACTCTCAGACATTAGCAAGAAAAATGAAGCTGGACTGGATATTAAAGCTGCACTAGGTAACTTTTGGGGAAATATTTATTGTCACATTTGCTGAAACTTGCCCTAAATCCTGACAGTAGAACACGAGACAGATAATCTGTGAAATAATCAGGTTCCTCTGGCTCATTCTAGCGCTCCTAATGGCGTTTACAAGAATCCACCAGGCCCGAACGGAAACAACCAATCAGAGTCGAGAAAGATAGTTAATTGTTGGGGATTTCTCAGAGGCAGACCTTTTTAAATTAGCAAAATAAAATGACAAAAATGGTCCAAAAAAAACCCTTAAACACACAGACATGTGTCAGTATCAGCCCTCCCTCCTGTCCTCTCTCTCTAAACTAAAACAAACCCTTCAGCTTGAATCATTCTTAGATAACAACGAAGCAGGTGGAAACATCGTCTCTCTCCCTGTCGACGTGCGCGTACGTGGCGGCGGCACTGCTGTTTGCACTTCATCATTTTACAGTTATCTGATCTCAGCGAGCATCGTGGGCCGTCGTAATTGGGCGGGAGACACACAGGCTGCATTGTGCACACGTCTGTGTTAAAAACTGCGGGAATCAAGAGGAAGAAACAGAGGACAAATTGTTATATCGGGGCCTCCTGCTGCCAAGAGGAAACAACTCTTGGATGGGTCTAAAAGAGGAGAACCTAATAGGGAGTAATGCAATAAAACCCAAGCCATGCAGTGGTAGTTAATCTCCTAAATCCCCCATTAAATCTTTGGCATGGATGGGTTTAGGGAAAGGCAGGAGGACAACATGTGGATGCCCAGCGCCCCACCAGGGGCTAATCAATAAAAAAAAATCCCAATCTGAGACCAACGGGGGCACAAATGTCCTGCGTCTGAGATTAACTCTCCCAGACCAGCTTAATCCCCCCGGTGCCCAATCTGGCCCTTTTCCTCCGGGACGCTGAACTCCAGTCGGAAGCTGCCCCCAAAAAGAGGCGGCTTGTTTTAGAGATAAAGACTCAGATGGTTGATATTTTCTGAACAAATTGCAGATTGTTTCCTGTCCCAGAGGGATTTTATAAAACCTGTTTAACCAGTGGGAGCTCAGAGAAGTTGACCTTTTAATTTTATCTTCCAGCAAAAGTACATTTTCTTGTTTGTAGATAAACTCCTGGTCCCACCTTTATATGGAAGCTTGTTTCTGCCAATGTGACGGGGAAGAAAAGATTCTGTAAGTCATTATAATGAGAAACATTATCAAAATAATGACTTTATCTTAAAATAATGACTTTATCTTAAAAAAATGACTTATTATCTCAAAATAATGGGAAACTTTATCAATATATCGACTTAGTATCTGAAAATATTGACAAAGTTTCTCATTATTTTGAGATACTAAATCAATATTTTGAGAAAGTTTCTCATTATAAGGACTTACAGAAGCTTTTTCTTCCATCACATTGGCAGAACTGTGCTTCCATAACTTTTAACTGGTGTTCAAACACAGAAAATCTATTTTACGAGCTCCATAGTGGGGAGAAATCATCTTTTTTATATTTTTTTAAACGCCTGTGCACATAAATCTGGGTCGACTTTGCGACATGAGAACATTCTTTAAGACCTTTGGGAACCGTATTAACTTGATAAGAAGAGTGAAACATGGGACCTTTTTAAATTCCAGAGGGTATTCAAGAGTTTGCAAAGACAATAAATATGTCAGGGTGACTTTTGGGGAAATGAGCAATGCAGTTCATAAGTATTTGGACAATGACACACTTCCTGTTTCTGCTCCAAACTCCCTCCTGCACTCTGTGTTTGCAGACTTTCAGATTTAAGCTTTTGAGGGTGTTCACATCTGTATTGAGTAATCAGTGTGGCCCCTGTTTTTCTACATGTTGCCTCCAGTTTCTGACCGGCGCAGGAGGACAATGACAGGGCTGCAGTTCCCACACTTTTCATTTGGTGTGGTTGTTGAAACCCTCAAATTAAAGCTCAAAGTCAGCACTTTAACCACACGATCTTTGTTTCGTTTTATTTCAAGTCACTGTGCTGGAGAATACAGCCAAAGCAATGCAGAAATTCATTCATCCGCTGAATGTACGACCTCTGAAATGCTTCATTTTCATTATTACTTTACATTTTTGATAAATAAATTGAATTATTTAGTGTATAAAATATCAGAAAATAGTAAAATTAGTCTTCAAATTGCTTCTTATGTGATCAACAGTCCCAAACCTTAAAGATATATTATATATGTAAAACGGTAGAAAATCAGCAAAAAGTCACATAAAATCACTAATCAGTGAATATTTTGCCATTTTCTGTTTGATAAATAACAAATGTTCTGCTGATCAACTAAATGCTTATGAAAGTTATTATTATTGTTATTATTATTATTCTTATTATTCTCTGCCTCAAAAGCTGAAATTGCAGTGAGCATGACACTTGAAGCAATAACTGTAAATAAGGACAAAATTTAAGTTAGTGTTTCGAGTATTTTTCTATTTATTTTATAGTATGAAATATATTTTAATGATTATCGTGTATATTCAGAGATCAGTTTAACCTCCGTCCAACGTCCAGTACAGAGACAGGATGTGTTTAGCCTAGCTTAGCACAAAGGCTGGAAGCGGAGGGAAACTGCTAGCCTAAAATACAACTTCCAACAACTCAAAGCTGCCTCGTTTTTTACATGGTGGTGATATCTCATTTGGTTTTCAAGATATTGACCAATGAGCTTCAGAAAGGGCGTGGCTCAGCACATAAACAGATATAAGTCAACAACCGTTGGGCCGATCATCCCAACACTCACAGCATATGTCCATATAAGTGCCTGAAACATTCCCTGAAAGTTTCATTCAAATCAACCACTAGGAGGCGCCACAAATTCAAAAACATTGGGGCTCGGTATAAAACAAACCAGGCTATAAATCGGAACTTGAATCATCACAAAAATGACAGGATGTGTTGTGTTGGCTTGCGGTTATATTTTAACAAATTGTTGCAACATTAATTTCTGCTTAACGTAAAAAAAATTCCGGGTTATTTGGCCTACTTCGACCCCGCCCCCTTTGTGGGTAATAAAACTAAAACAATACAGCCTTAAGGTAGTTTACCTGAAGTGTTGCAACAAGCTGATTCAGAATAAACTGTAAGGGGGGGGGACGCACACACAAAAACCACTTGAGGGTAATTTGAAGGGGAAAAACCAGGTTCAAGAGCTGCTGTGAACTCCTACTCGCACTCTTTTACTCCGGTCCACTTTAATGCGTCTTAATGACACAACGGCGACGTGTCAATGCTGCCGGGGCACCGAACACTGATAGGCTGTGAGGGAGGAGAAGGGGCAGCGCATGGTGTCATGTGAGCCAAATTAGCTCAGCTTGTTGTTTACGCAGTGGATGTTTGCTGGAGCCACGGAGGGACGTCAGGGGTCTGTGTGGTGGGAGGGGGGCACCCTCAGTAAACACTGCTCAGACAGCAGCTCAGACAGCAGCCCGAGTGCTCGCTGGGTGCTTTAATTTACGCAGGAGTCTCTTTTCATCGGAGGATTGTTGGAGTTTTCCCATTTGGGAATGTCTCAGGATGAGGATAAGGATGTTTTCTGCTCTTTTGGATATCGGTTTCACAGTTGAGAAGTTGTTTTTGTCTTGATTGAGGATGGATGTGTGACGGCGGAGTGCCTCTGTGTTAATTGCCAGGTGTCTGGGAGTGAGTCATGGGTGATGTGACTGCTGGCATACTGTAGGACCGACCGCCAGGCAAGTGACAAACAGGATCTGTTGTTGTGAAGTTGATTGTTTGCACGTATCATAGCGCTAATTATCCAGAAATAAGACAGTTTTACATCAGTGTTTTTGCTTGTTAAGTGTTTTTAAAACTTGAAGTCTTGAAATTAAAACTTACCGACACAAAAGACGGAAACAGACGAGGGAGGGAGACTCGACACTGGTTGAAGTTTCAGTTCTAAATGAATTCATCTGTTTTGATATTTTATTGCTGGTTTTTAAGCACTAATTCTCTGGTTGAAGCTTTTTCCATTGTGAGGATTCGCTCTGTAAACTGAATATCTTTGTGGTTTGTGACTGTTGATTGAACAAGGACTCTGGATGTTTTATAGGCCAAACCATTCATCAGTTAATCGTACAGTTTTCTGTGATGGTTGCAGAATCACTCACTGTGTCACAACTCACTGCCGACAACCTGGAGATTAACATCCGGCTTCTGTGTCAAAATGAGACTTGGCAATCAAAACCTCACAATGTGTTTTCAAAGTGGAATTTCTTTAACATAATGATAACATGAAAACCTGCTGTCTGTAGAGCGCTGTGGGCTTTTCCAGTGACAGATTGCTACAGTACATCTTTCCTGTTTCACAACGTCCACGCCCCCTTTTAGCTAAAACAAACGCTGTAAAGTTCCTCGTGGAAACCAGGAACATCAAACAATAAAAATAAATCCAGTTTTACGATTTTCTTTACTAGTGGTGTTCTGTGGCTTTAGTCCATCCACAGAGAGGATAAAAGGGTAAAGTGTGTGTCATATGTCATCACAGGTTAGTTAATGATGTTACTGAGTCAATGTGAGCAGATTGTGTCTGTAGATTGAGTCAGAAAAGAGTCAGTGATGGTGTGACGGTAGAAATAAAGATTTTACTGTGGGAAGATAAGGCCCGACTCAAAAAACAGACGCTTTTAGAATGGAGTTTGGTTTGACCGCTCGAAAGACCTCAGAAATAATGACAAACAGTGAACGATGTCAGAAATATGAGATTCAGTAAGGTTTTAATCAGAGGTCAGACACTCATCATCCCGTCTTTCTTTCTTTCTTTCTTTCTTTTCTTTATCAATAAGTATTTAATAGTGGAGGCAGCCCGCCTTGCCTGAAGAAAAGAGTTGCTTCACTAACTTTTATGATATATAAGATGAGGCTTTTTAAGCTTCAGCGGCGCCACATTACACAGCAAAGGAAGTTGATAATGATACGAGCTGCTTCACAGTCTGTCTAATTGAGCTCAGCAGGTGATTGATTGATTGATCACATTGTTTGTTTAACAGTAATTAATCCAAACGGCTCCATCTTTTCATTCTAATCAGAAATGTTTCTGTAACTTACAGTTAGAAGGTAGTGCCACTTTAAATGACTTGTAAAAGCAGCTTAATCAATAATTCTTTTAACCTTACAAACTGTGTTTGAGTTAAATGAACTTAATAATGGGACAATAGAGCTGATGAGAGATGCTTTTCATCACACTAACTTGTGCTTCCTCGCGTCGTCTCGAAATCCTTCCTGCTCCGCCATCATGAACGATCTTCCAGTTCCTTAAATTCGATGATTCTTTATTCACACAGTTCATTCTGACAGCTCGTACTCTGTAAGGAGGATTGTGTGCGATAAATAACAATTCACTGGATCATTTAATCTCAAACACACAAAGCAGCAGCTGGTTTTTGTACTTTCTTACGCAGCTCTGTGGAGTATTACTGTAGTAAATCACAACTTTGCTCTGTACAGAAGTTAGAAGATTTAAAAGGAATAAAAAATGATTCAAACCAACAGCAGCTGGTGGCGTCGCTTACTGACAGCGTGGAAGAAAGATTTCTCATTTGACATCACGTCTCTCTCTCTCGCCTCCTCGCTGGGCGGAGCAAAGAAGCGAGGAAAGGAAGTGAGCGAAGGAAGCGAGGAGACACGTTAGTGTAACAAAAAGCTCCCACAGTGTTAACAGTTTCCTTTAAATTGTAAAAAATAAAACCAGAAAATATCAGGAGAATTCACATTAAATAGGCGTCGTGTCATTTCAGGGTCCATTTTCACAGAAACATTTGCTAATTGATTAATTAGCTTAAGTAATGACCTCATTAGTGACACTGATTGCGTGTAATATATCATGGTGATTAACATCTGACAGCTCGTGTCCCTCTTGTACAAAGACACATTCATGCTCATATTTCCTCTTTAAGCTGCAGCCACATTATTCTGGATTATTCTCCCTCCTGATATCTGTTGTCTCGCTCGTGTCCTTCCAGTTTTTCTGCCATGTTTGGCCCTGATTGGTTATCTGATGGAGTTTTTGCAGTGGTATGCAAACACAGGCCCGCAGGCAGGCAACGTGCACAACCTGATATTACAGGCTAAAGGAGAAAAGAGGCTGCAATTAAACAGAACAACAAGCTTCGTTCAATGAGGCTGGAAATTAGCTTGAAAAGTGCAAGATCTTTGTTTTGTTTCTCGTCCTAAGCTTCGGTTGCTAAGTGCTAGTTGCTGCAGTTTTCTCTCTGGACTTCCCTAGAGATCAGACGTCTCCTCCTCCTCTGAGTTTGTGTTGCCTTCTGGAGGTTGGAGTTGTTCGTTTTTCTCTGTTTGCCCTTTCAGCCACCGTGGTCGTCGCTGTTCGTTCACCGCCCACTCCGTTTTGTTTATTCTAAAGAAACTGGAATTGCAAAGTGCATCATTTCCTGTCTGCTAGATTAGTTTGCCAAGGAAATTCTTACCAAATAGTGGGTGGTTATTTGAGCAAATGTCAAAGACTTTCTAAACTCTGTTTAGTTTCTGTCTTGGTTAATCTTAAAAATCAACCTTAAGCCTTAAAGCCTTAAATTCTGGGGGTCAGTGTGCAGGCTGTGGGGTGAAAGGTCATTTAAGAGAAACACTGGAGAGGAGATGGGTCAAGTACTACATTCAGATATATACTCATCAATGTGTCAGAATGCAAAGTGGCTGTGAGGCAAAAGTTGTTATTTTTTTATGCTTATTATATTTCTGGTGGATACTATTGTTTATTATGGATGATTTTATACGTTCTTGTTGATAAATTATTAATTACATGTTCTTAATTTTGATAACCAGGCATTTAATGTCCGTATAGTTGAGGATACATCGCCCAGATAAGGGCATAAAACAGATAATCCCTCACACGTTTGTTTGTTTTGAGGTCTATACGCTAAAGATAACTATTTAAAAAAAGGTAAAAACATTTAATCTATACCCTAAATGGGTAATGTACCTCAGGAACTGTAGTGAGTTAATCAGAAAATAAAGGTCACATTCTGATAAATATCATTATAAAATATCAATTAATGAATTTCCCATTGAAGGGTTAACTGTTTATCTTTCCTGTTCCAGGGCTGACGGGCAAAAGTGAGAGATGCAGTGAAGAAAAACGGACACGCCTCAGGTCAAAGGTTAAACGCTCACCAGGAAGCGAAGGTGCAGGATGCAGTCTCGCATGCAGGAGCAGCCATTGGCCCTCACTGCGGTGAGGTCACACTATCCGACCAATGGGAAAGAAGAGGAAGTGAACACAGGTGAGGGGCTTTACCTTAAACGTTGCCCGGAGGCAGTTCCTCATCAGCTCAACAGGATGAAAGTGTAGCAGCGTCTGCAGAGACAACTGGGGATTTGTTCTGTTTCTTGCTATAAATTCACTTTGTTATTCTCGTCCCCAACAAAAGGAGGAATAGAACATTTAGGGGCCAAGAAACAGGAAGTTGTTGCAACTTCTGTAATTTGTCCCATCGATGGCAAACTTCACATATCAGTCCCTCCCTGAGCACGTTCTTGTTCTTGATCAGGTCCCGCTGAAATTTGGCCAGAAGACTCTTAAGACGTAGATGATGATGTGTTATGATTTCCGTGAGTTTTTGTTGAACGCCGTTGTCGTGGCAACGCGGCGACTGTCAATATATTGCTTTAACAGTTTTGCGCAAAATGGTTCACTAGTGCCCCCTAGAAAGTTTCCAAACATCAGCCCCGCCATGCCGTTTCACCGAGATGTATGAAAATTGGTAGACACACGTATCATATCCAGAACTACAAAAAAACCTCTTGGAGCCATATCTTAAACCCAACAGGAAGTCGGAAATTAATTTTGTGGTCATTTTTGGCAGTTTACACACATTGTACTTTAATGAACTCCTCCCAGGGAATTGATCATTCAGACTTCAAATTTAATCAATGTAATCTAAAGACCTTCACAATGAAAAGCTGTGTGATTTGTGAGTTTTTGCTGGTCGGCGGGCCCGTGGCGTGGCGATGAATTTCAATTTTTTGCGCAGCTTTAATTTGACGTTATCACATCAACAAGGGAGGAAATATGGTCGGCTGTTCTGATCGATTTTAATCACCTTGATCTTTGATTGACTTTGAGGACTGTATAAATGACTCAGAGGGGATTCCTTAAGACAACTTCTGTTCAAACTGGGTGTCTGTGGTCTGATGTGGGGGTCTTTGACTGAGTTCGACTACATTTTAATGCGAAAAGTTTCACACAATTTGAAATAATTTTAATTATTTTTCAAAATGTTTTGACAAAGGAGAAGAGTGGCAACACACACCAGCAGTGTGTTTCTATGTAAACATGCACAATGGTGGCGTATTGATGCAGTTCATTACACATCAACACGTGGGGATACGTTACTGTCAGATGTCCCAGCTCGGTTGCATCCAGCTGCACTGCTGATTGTTAACAGAAACATGTTGTTATTTAGCTTGTGACGCTAATGCTACATAATGTGCAGAATTTAATCCCAATCTTTTTCCTTAAGGGAAATATGTACATGTACAATGAACCCAAACAGTGAACTCTGCAGGAAGTTTGTGTAAAACAGAAGATTTGAATGAATTGTGAGCAGATTATTTCCTGTTTAGGGAACTTTTTATACAATTCTGTGTCTGTATTTTGGATTTTTATCATTTTTAAGAACTTAATAGGCTTATTTTTTGACAAATTCACTGTTTTCTTTTCCCTGACACTTAGCCGTTGCCCTATTAGACAGTTCCAAACAATTTACATTCACTTTCCTTCACAGAAGTGAATTTAATGTTGAGATATAGGCGTTCTGTGTATATTAAGTTAAAAAAATCAAGAAGGACTCGCTACCCCCCCCATGTAAGCTTTGGCTTATGGGGGTCCTGACCCCTGGGCTACCCACAGCTTTTAAACCTTTAAACACTGATGCATCAATACAAATCCATTAACAACGTTCATGAAACGTTCGTGTGTGTTCTGGTCCGACTCTTCTGTTTGACGTACAGCTTGTCAGCTGGGTGAGAAGGGTTAAGCTCTTCCTAAGTGAGCAGACATTACAATCTATCACAACAAACTCCATCAAAGCATCCGCCTCCCAGCGTCCCCTCTCATTAGACAGAGCAGGTTCAGTCTGCACACACACAACAACCTGATACATAATACCTCAAATGTCTCTGTCTCCCGCAGGCAAAGTGAAGAGTTCTCACCTTCAGGAGAAGCATTCGTGGCATTACATTGTGTAACACCACATCCAGCAGGCTCCAGATCAGTGTTGGGCTTGTTACTCTTTCCAAAAGTATTACTTAACATATTACTCCCTGCCAACAGTAATTAGTTACACCCCATAACATTTGTAATTTCTTCGCAAAACTCCTTTTCATGTTCGGCTCTGTGTGAATGTCAGGGTAATCGCCCGTCTATCCGTTTTTTTTCTGCAGCCTGTGAATCCATAAAAGTTACATGGAAAGCTCAAACTGATCATGAGACAACAATCTTTTAAACAATTTCTGTTATTTCGAGCCGACGTATGCAGCCACAAGCTTTATTATTTCCTGCTGTACGCCATTAAACTCAGAATGATGGGAATATTTCCAGCTGCTGAATGTTTCCATCTTCCAAACTGGTTCCCGGATTGGTGACTCCAGGGATGTGATTGGATTGTTTGATTTCAAATCAGTAGGGAGGTTGACAACTAAAGTAAGGTTTTAACATATTTTTGGGGGTGTAACTGTAATATTATTACTGATATTTTATTGGGAATTAGTTCCATTACTCGTAATATTATTACCGGTAATGTCTTACTGCAGCGGTTCCCGACCTTCTTCCTTTTCTATCAACGAGTAAACTGATGGCACCTGACTATGTGATGTATTTTATGGATATTTCATATTTAGTATATTTACAATATCAACACAGAACAACAGATAGTGAACACAGTAACTGCAGGAAGTTTCTGTAAAATTAGCACTTCAAAGAGTTTTCCTGATAATTCTGTCTATATTATGTATTTTCTACTTAATAGGCTTCTTTTTTTGAGTAATTTCAGTGTTTGAAATGTGGAGATAAATACCTACTGTGCATATTTTTAAAGTTTTCTTACACCCCCTAAAATCAAGAAGGCCTTGCAACCTCCTGTGAAGCTTTGGCGACCCCTAGTGGTTGGAGACCACAGTCTTACTTCTGAACACTGCTCCAGACACATTTACAAAGCATCAAAATTGTGTATTTCAACCACTATCCCATAAATGAAATGCACATTAAGCCTCAAGACAACCCTGCTCCTTTTATTGGTGATTCACGGGTGGTTTTGTTCATCCAGATGCAGATTCTATTGAAGAAGAGGCGGAGTTCAACTGGGAGGAGTACATGGAGGAGACGGGGGCCAACGCCGCCCCTCACACCACCTTCAAACATGTAAGTGACTGCGTATGATCTTCACCTCACACTTTAATCCCACCCCCCCCAGGGTGATCCTTTAAACACAGCCTGCTGGATAAGTAGCGTATGCAGAAATCCTTTAACGACATATTGGAGAGAGCCGGGACTTGGCATCGTGGCACTAATGCTGTTCAACAGAGCGCCCGCGTTGGCTTTGTTCTATCATGACGCACGAGTTGTTAGTCGACCTTTGCTGGTTTTTGCAAAACACAATTGAGGGTAATTACTGAAGCGCAAAAAGAAAGTGATACAGTGAATACAAATAGGCACCATGCTGCTGCTGATTTACTGTGTGAGGCACATATTTTAATTTCTTCTTCATTCCTGCGTCCTTGCTCTCAGAGAAGGCGGAGGTTGAAATTATTATCACACACTGCTTATAAAGTCAAATAACTTCACTCTTGCTATGTGTTTTATAATTAGTATCTGATAAAGATCTTTTGTAGGAAATATATCGAACATTTTCACATTGCTAGTAAAAAAAAAGCCTGCAAATCTGACTTTAATCTAGCAGTTAATAATTAATCAATTTGTTGTTTGGTTCATAAAATGGTGAAAAATATGGATTGAGGGCGAGGGGAGTTGCTAAAGGGTGGAAAAAACAAAGAAAGTTGATGCAATATGAATTAGAAATGACACTGGATACTTTATGAAAGGTTCTTATGTTGAAGGGTTTTGCAGGTAGACTTTATGGGAATAGAAACTGGCTTCTAGTCAAGATGTGGGAACATTTTTGGAGGTTTTACTGAAGGAAATATGGTGACTAGGACTGAAACTAATGATTATTTTCTTTATTGATTAATCTGTGAATCAGTTTATCGATTCGTTTGCTCGATAAAATGTCATAAAATTATAAAACGTGTTGATCCCAAAGCCCAACGTTCTTAAATGTCTTCTTTTGTCCACAACGTGAAGATATTCACTTTATTGTCATAGAGGAGAAAAGAAAGCAGAAAATATTCACATTTCAGAGGCTGAAATTGGACAAAAAATGCCTCAAAACAGTTCAATTAACATGTGATCAGTCACATAAAAACAAAAGAGGAAGCAGCGTAGGATCATGGGAGGTTAGGATTCCTTCAGTGTTCATGGTTCAGGAGGTTTCTACCAGGAGCCCAGTTATCCACAGAGGTCTCCTCCTCTCCAAAACAAACAGACCCGCTGATTAAAACCACTAAACACACTGAATAAAGCAGTTCCACCTTAAAAATCACTGCTTCTCCCTCCAGCCTGGACCTGTGATCAGTGATGATGTCTCTGACGTTTACCTACCAGTGAATTATAAGAGCAATTGTGAGCGAGTGCTGTCCTGTTTCAGTCGGGAAAAAGCTGCTTTGTTAAAGAGAGCGTGAACCTTGTCTGTTAGGCAAAGAGCAGCTAATTCACCGTGAGCCTCATCTGATCTTTATCTCGTGTATCTGAGTCAGGAAGGCTCCAGTTCTCAAGAAAACTGATTCATCAGATTTAAAACTAAATGGGCCACAACTTGTTTGAAGTGCAGCCTGCAGGTCCAGGGGGGCGACGGAGGGCAGATTGACGAAAGCCGGCTCGGTTAGTTCAGGCAGACAGTCGCAGTCCAGGTCGGCTGAGAGGTCGGCTGAGAGGTCGGCTGAGAGGTCAGCTGAGCAGCGTGTTGCCATCACCAACCGGGCGGGCGGTTTAAAGTGTCAAACTCACCTGCTTAATCTCTGCCTGCTGCTGTTTGTTGACCTCCTTCAGTGTCTGATCTCATGGCTGCTGCAGAGACACACAGAGAGTGACTGAAATAAGGGTTTTTACAGAAAAAACGCTGACTCAGCTAACCGCTTAAAAAATGTGGTTGCTCCTCATGCTAATGATAAGCTCGGCAGAACTGGTGTGGAGCCAGTGGATGATGATGAAGTCTTACTGTGTTCATAACGGCCACTGAGTTTTACATTCAGAAAACAACCTTTATTTCCATATGCAAACATATAAATATGGTACAAAAGTCACACATCAGCTGAAAGAGGACAGAGGCACCCAGTTGGCCGTATTCTAATCCTTATGTAATCACCCAGGAGTTTAACAAAATAAAAGTCTGTCTGTATGTTGTCGGGTTTCTTGAAACTTTCTCGTTTAAACTGAGACGAACCAGCCTCTTCACATCGGAGGACAGGATCGATGACTGATACTGATGCTCTCAACTTCACTCAGTATTTTTATATCAGGAATATGATTCCTTGTTTCATTTTAGATGTTTCCAGGGAGAAAGTATTGAGTGTAAATAGTGATTTTGCTGTTTAAACAATACAGTTGCTGCTCTAGAAACATCTAGTTTTATTAAAAATCTTAAATTCTGAATTTAAAGGCTGAACTGTACAGCTGATATGTGCTCTTCAGTATTTATTTTATCATCATCATAATATTGAATAGATATTATTAGCAGACATATCAAAAACAGGCCTTTTACAAGCATTGTGTCACTTAACCATTACTATACTTCTACATACTCACATCAGTATACAAAGTACATCATATACTGTACAATCTCTGTTGAGATTAGGGGTGGAAGAACATAAATAATAAAAAAATGTATGACTATGATGACTACAAATGCCGATCCCACTGTCCTGGTTGCATAAAAAAAACAGTTTTTTACTCAGATTTTATGCTTATAGGGTTGTGTTCTTTTATACTTTAAAGTTTTCTTAAAATTAAATTCACATTTTTATTTTAAATCACATTATATTGCGTTGTTTGCAGTATCACAATATATCAGAATGTATTGAATCGTAACCTCTGTGTCTTTGACTGTTGTGCTTTCCATCAAATATACACTTTTCAACCTCTCCCTTCACTGTCAGTCGGTTGCTTTATATTTCTTCTTTACGATCAGCAGTGACACTAATACTGTATTACTGTAAATACAGTACGTCTGGTTTTTAGTGTCTGTATCTGGGCTCTGCAGCTCTAGCACTTCTAGAAAAACATTGATTTGATTTAATATAATAAAACGTTCTCGTATTAGGCAAATAAAATCCACCAGTGGGATCCGAAAAAACTGGAAGCCTTAAAACTAGTAAAAAAAAAAAAGATATAAGCAAGTTTTTCTTATTACAAACAATGAAACTCAGTATTTTAGTCACTTTATGGAGCTAAATTTAAGAATTTGAACCTTTTTGACCTAAAATCTCCCAATAAGACTCAATTTCTTCAGACAGCAGAATAAAAATCAGTGACTTTGTGTTGAATAAAGGAACCTGAAATATTCATATTTTTATCATTTTTATTAAAACAATGAAAAACTAAACATCTGCTTTATTTCCAACTGTGGGACTTCTGTTAAACTGAGAAGTTGTGCGAGTGCTCTTATTCTGAAAATAAGGACAATAACCTGGTTCCTCTGCTGGGACATTATGCAACCATTGTTGTTACTGGTTAAATCGAGCTGAATATTAGCTGGAAGATCTCATTTAGACACAATTAGAGATATATTCTTTAATGCAAAACCATCTTGACAAGATTATTTTTCTTTACTTTAAATCTTCTCAACCTAATTGTATTGAACCTGTTGACAGCACTGATCTCAACCAGAGTCAAATCAATATCCACGATATTGAGGCGTCATTGATCCAACTTCTTTCAACCAGCAGTGAAGTTAAAAATCTGGATTTTTCATGACATTTCATCTTTCCTCCTCCCCTCCAAAAAAAACCTGTTACCAAACAATTACAGAGCTTTGCCTCCATTAACATGTTACATCACAGCAGAGCAGCCAGATGGGCGCAAGTGGTTGATCCTGAATGCGAGGTTTTTATCCACCTCAGCTGACTCCGATGGAGCAGCTGTCTGCCCCGATGAGGCTCAGGACGCCGCCGCCGTCGCCGCCGCCGCTGCCGGTGGGGCCACCGCGTCTGCTGGAAGATTTAAGATTTAAAGAAGTGTGTCGGCGTTACAGTTCCTTACATCACTCGCAGCAGTAGTAAGGGGTGAGATTAGAATACGTGGGTTTTATGAGCGACACAAACTGTCCTGCGTGGTGATTTCGAGCGGCTGAGGTCTCTCGGGAAGCTAAATTGCCTTGTTGGTAAGTGGATTGAGTTACTGGGAAACAGACCATGAATTCCCCAGAAATATGTGATTCAGTAAAGTGCAGCTCTCATCTCGCTCTCCCTCTCTGCCTGAACAAATTGAAACAGTGATTTCTCTTGGGCCTGACACACACACACACACACACACACACACACACACACACACACACACACACACACACACACACTCACTCACAGAGGCAGTGTTTGCTGCCCGTAGCTCTCTTACATAAGCCAACCAGAGTGATACAGCACGTTTGCATTGTTGTAGCAGGAAGTCACGGGGCCATTTGTATTGTGTTTATTTCTAAGATGTTGGCTTTTTCCATTCACTTCTGAGTGTGTGCGTTTGTGCGAGTGTTGAATGCGAACATCCTGTTGGGCTTGTAAGTGTTCTCAAGAATTGTATGGCAGCCTGTGGCCATGGTGGAAACGCATTATGCTGCGCTGCATTCACTGGCGTACAGATTTATCACTTTCTCTGCTCAAGGACACGCTGAAATGCTGAGTGCAGAGGTTTAGAGTCCCCAGCTTTATTAATTACACTTGATTATTAACTAAAATTCACCTGTATGTGTTTATCTATCAAGTAACAATCAGTCTGAATCATTGCTGGGAGATAGTCAGCCTATATAATGGCTTCATTTATTGCCTATTTAACAGTTATTATAAACATAGTACACAAATTGTTTGACTTTTTAGTGGATAAAAAACAACCACTTTCCTATCAAAATACATTTCTGTACGTGTAAATCCCAGAAAGAAAGGAGAAAGTCATTATAACAGGATTCCCAGGAAAATCTGACCATCAGGAAATGGTTTAAAATGATGAAATATCCTGGAAATAATCTATGGTGTCCTGGAAATGTTTGTATTTTAACTCCTCCTTCATATTACATAATGTTTTTTTTGTTTGAAACTTCCTGGAAAATGTCTTGGAAAACAGAGGAGCCATTCAGAATATTCCTTTAATGTTCTGCTGTGTCCCTGTCAGGTGGAGATCAGCCTGCAGAGCAGCTTCCAGCCCGGCATGAAGCTGGAAGTGGCCAATAAGAACAGCCCGGACACGTACTGGGTGGCCACCATCATCACCACATGTGGCCAGCTGCTGCTGCTGCGCTTCAGCGGCTACGGCGAGGACCGCAAGGCCGACTTCTGGTGCGACGTCATGACGGCCGAGCTGCACCCGGTGGGCTGGTGCACCCAGAACAACAAGACCCTCATGCCCCCCGAAGGTAGGACACGATAACACGCACTCAACCTGAACTCAACAAGATGTATTATACTTTATTAAGGGCTCATTATTCAGCTTTTATATTTTTATTTAACATAAACTGATAAAAGGTTATAAAAAGTATAATTTGAAGCTCAATTAGCATTTTTTTCCTGCTGGTTGCAGCAGGAACATGTTTACTGTAAAAGGTGAATAATGACTTTAACACATGAGAGGACTTAAAATCTGTGTGAATTGTTGTACATATTGTAAAGCCCTGTGAGGCACATTTGTGATTTTGGGCTTTAGAAACAAAACTTTTTGGAGTATTTTATGGCTTTTTTTGTAAAGGCAAATTTTGTTTTATGTTGATTCCCAACCAGTTAATATTAAAGGTTGTCAATGGAAGCAATACATTCCTCCATGTTGAATAGACCAAGAAATAGCTGCAAAATCTGCTCTTCTTGCAGCAAAGGAAGTTTATTAAACAAATAGTATTCATTCAGTCATTTCTGCCGCTAGAGGGACTAGAGGGAAGTTAGATGAGGTGATGAAGCAGTGTGGAATCATGGGAGTTGTTGTCTTCACCACCATTGGCGTCATTGCAGTCAGCTTCTCCCGGTTAGGATTCCTTCAGTGTTCATGGTTCAGGAGGTTTCTACCGGGAGCCCAATGATCCACAGAGGTCTCCTCCTCTCCAACACAAACAGACCCGCTGATTAAAACCACTAAACACACTGAATAAAGCAGTTCCACCTTAAACACACTGAATAAAGCAGTTCCACCTTAACAATCACTGCTTCTCCCACGCTGTTGGACAGACAAAGGACGTCCCGGAGGGGCTGCGAGCCGAGCTGCTGCTAACGTTAGCTCAGCTTGTTTCTCTGATAACTTAAGATCCAGACGTCCGATGACTAAAATCCTTCATCCGGTTCAAATCTAGAGTTAAAAAGCACCAAGATCTAAACAGTGGATGGTAACAATGTGGCTTCACACTGGATCAACAGTCAATGTATGACAGCTTCTGACAGACAGGCACAACGCTGACGCAGGCACAAAGGGGATATGACGCCATCGACAGGCGACCGGTGAAACGCAGCGTTACCTGAATAAAATGACAGAAGTAAATATTAATTTATTCTCCCTATGCTGTATATTGAATTATATAGTTGCTTAAACGTACAGTCTGTAGTTTCTAACACTGGGGGGTCTCTCACATCCAAACAATAAAAATAAAATCATAAAATGACAGATTTCTCTGAGTTTGAACATTGTTGGAAACATTTGGGATAATGGAAGAACTCAACTACATATAGAACATAGAGCCAGAGCTTATACACTGTTTGATGAGGATGATGTTACAGATTAGAGCTTTAAGATTAGCCACAGAGAAGGTGCAGACTCTGCATCAATCCTGGCCCACAGATGGTGAAATATATATATATACCCTGCGTTACAGCGCTGCACACACACACACACACACAAAGAGAAGGAAAGAGAGTGGAAAGACAGGTTTTCCTCAAAGTGCTTTGATTGTCAAGACGGCTCAACTGCCATTTATCTAACTGACACATCACGCCCTCGCCATCGCGTTCAGTCAGTCAAAGCTTTTCTAAATCATCTCTGGTCTCCATAAGAGCATCTTTTACACCTGATCTCAGCCTTTCAAAAAAAGCGTCCTCTTCAGATTCCTCCACAAGCGTCCCTCTCACGGTGTCACAACTTTGCTTTTACAGCGGAGACATTTCCCCCTGCGGCGCCCTCAGATAGATGACTCACCCTCCCCTGCCTCGTTCAGACCATTTATTTTTCTCGACACGTCGCCACTGATGGATAGCGCGCTCCTCCGTTGTTGTGGAGACGACCTGGATATGTTTCCACCTGACTCGGGCGTCCTCGCCCTCACACCAGCCCCATATGTCCTTTTCACTCAGCGCCGGTCTTTTCACCAACTTCCTCTTTTGTGTTTTGCAGCAGCAGCAGGCGGCTCCTGAAACATTGCTGCTTTATTCAGCCTCTCAGTGGATTATCTATCAAGCAGGGAAACAGCAGATTGAATTTGCTTTCAGCGCTGCAGTCGAGTAGCTTTTTCTTTAGCTTGTTTTGTATTCCAAGTCAACAAACACTGACTGTAGCGAGGCTGCAAGAAATGATTGTCTTCTCGATGAATCATCCATAAAGTGGCCAAGTTGACAGACTCATATTGCTTGTTTTGTCCGACCAAAATACCAAAGATGTCCTGTTTAATATCAGAGATTTAAGAAGCTGGAAACAGTAATCTTTGCACCAAAAATGACAAAAAAAAGTTTATTTTTCTGTCAATAAAGGCTCAAAATTACATCCGTATTGAAGGAGGTGATGGGTATCCAGAAGATTACAGACTGGATCTTTAGGATTTTCTTTCTTTCTTTCTGTTACAAATGAACTGTCGCGATAACAACAATAATGAAATGCCACGCTACCGACCAACCGCAGGGGATGGCAGGAGCACATCATCACGTCACGTTTGGTGTTTTTTAAGATGGGAAACCTCCACCAGAGCGGCGAGGTTGTAGAGACTCAATGCTGCAGAAGCGCTGTCTGAAACGCAATGGAGAGAAAGTCACGTAGCCTCCTTCACTCGCTCTGGAAAAACTCCCGACCACAAACATTTATTTGACTAGTCGGCAGTAAACGGGGTCACAGTGGGTATTCGGCGGGTACTCGTGTCTGAACTCAGATAACACATCATTTATTAGCAGCAGAACGGACACTGCTTCTTCCCAGGAGTGTCAGATGGTTTAACTTGATCCAGGCCATTGAACAGCGATAGCAACCATACAGGCTTAGTAGCATTCAGTCGTAGTTTTGCAGGGACAATTAAAAGTTAGAGAGTTAGCTAAGAGCTAATGTGCATCTGTTGTCTCTGGGCAAGTAAACAAACACAATCCATAGAACAGTAAATATATAAATACATAAAACTGCATCACTGTGAGATAATAAATAGAATCAATTATTGGTAATCAAGGAAACCGTGAACAGATATTTGGAAATGATTTGCAGTTAAATTGATTATTTTATTTACTCCACTACATTGAATTAATTACTTTGAAGATTCATCTTATTAACACAAAATAGAAACCCACTAATAATAAACTATATGATGTGTAAGTATGTATGTGATGCTAATACTTTTGAGTATTTTTACACTTTGGTCTTGTACAGTTATTATCAGATAATGAGATGGGCGGGACACTAGAGAGAGAGAGAGAGAGAGAGAGAGAGAATCAGTCTATCAATAGTTTGTTTTATTGAGGAAGGATTACAAGGTGTAGGATACGAGAATGCAGTGTATGTTTTTACTAAACTAACACAGCAGAGCAAAATATACTCCTAACACTCCAAGTTTTTATGATGTAAATGAACTTTTACTTTTACTCTTGTGTATACTTGAATAAGATGTTGCATGTTCTCAGTACGTTTTTATATCCACCGTACTTGTGTTTGATCATAAATTAAAGTCAATAAAGTTTATATTTGACAGTAAAACATGTTTTAGCTGACCTCTGCGCTGTCTCCTCCTGGGCCTCTCAGGAAGCTCAGATTTTGGATTTCTCTCCATTAATAATGATGGACAGCTGATATCATGTTTAATGATGCAAACTGAAGTAAAATATGTCATGAAGGCAGTTCCCTAAAGCGGCTTCTGCAAGATACTGTTAAAAAAAGAAAGAAAGAAAGAAAGTACTTTATTGCTTCATTTCAAGGCTTTGCATCATGTTATACACATCTTCCTCTGTGTGTGTGTGTGTGTGTGTGTGTGTGTGTGTGTGTGTGTGTGTGTGTGTGTGTGTGTGTGTGTGTGTGTGTGTTGCAGAGTGTGTATTATTGAGTGCTCACACCTGTGCCACGGTTACCTGTTTTATTGGTTTCCTTTTTGTTTGTTCTCTGTTTCTCAGATAACGTTTACCTAAGAAAAGGTAAGCAGCTCTGACAGTGACTTACTCGCTAACTGTGCTACTGGCTAACACTGACTCAACACTGTGTGCACGTTAGAGCTGCATGTACAGTGGGCTTCCTCCTCCTCTTCCTCTTTTCACCTCTCTGCAGGAAGTGACCTCACTGCTCAGTTGTCATGCCTTGCCTCCTCTTTGCATGTGACTCCTTTTCTATCTGAGTGAGTGTGTCTTTAGCGCGATAACACACACATGCACACACACACACGCAACCACAGTGCTGTTTGTGCCAAGCTGTGCCCGTATGATAACTAATGTGAAACGCAGCAGCTCAGAGAGAAATGTGATAAACGGGCCTCCTCTCATGTGCAAACACACTGACTGTGTCCTGTAGTGGAGAAAATGTCACCGCTCCATTAGTCGAGAGCAGAAAGGTCGGAAGTTAACGAAGCGCTGTCGTTAGCAGATAAAATCAATGTCCGTCACCAAACTGGACAGAAAGTTGTTGGAGGCGACACATTTAACTGCTGATTGTTTATTTGTATCTGTTACAATGAAAGTCTCTCATTATGAGCCAGTTTAATCGATGGAAAGCTTTTGTTATTTATTAAAGCTGCAGTAGAATTTTTACTATAAACTTTCACTGTATCCTGACTGTAGCACATGAGACGGATAATGTGTGAAACAATCCAGTTCCTCTGGTTGTTCTAGTGCTCCTAATGGTATTTGCAAGAATCCACCGGACCCAATCGAAAACAACCAAGCAGAGCCAAGAGAGATAGAAAGATGCTTTGGGTTGGAGGTGTGATGGTTTTTGTGTCCCAGGGCATCAAATTCAGGACCCTGTGAATGAGACTCAACAATACTATCTATCAGAACTATCTTTCTTGGCTCTGATTGGTTGTTTTCATTCGGGACCGGTGGGTTCTTGCAGATACCATTAGGAGCACCAGGAGGAACCAGAGGAAGCTGATTTTTTTCACAGATTATCTGTCTCATCTCCGACTGTCAGGATAAAGTGAAAGTTTGTGTGGTTTAAAGATTTTGTGGCATCCAGCAGCTTCACCCTCCCTTTCTAAGAGCGAAGGAGAAACTACGGAGGCAGTGATTGGTTGTTTTCTTGGCGACTGTAGAAACAAATACGGGTGCTCCGATTGATCGGCCACTGATTGTTATCAGCAGATATTCACACACAACAGATTTATCTGCGGTCTCTATAAATATATAAAGTTGTATTCAGTCTTTCCCCTATATACATTTACTTGGGCAGGCCAACCGGGATATTATCAGTCCGTCATAATCTGTCTTCAGTCTAATTTTTTCATCCCCAGCGTTTGGGTTTTAAGTGCTTTTCACAGCCACCATAGTTTCTGCTTCACGCTTGGAAGAAGACAGTGAAGCGAGGGAGTTTCAATTTGCAACAACACTGCTTAATGCCACTGACTCCTACACACTGGACCTTTTTTAAAATATCAATTTATTCTGAATTAATTGAGTAAAATGTTAAATTTACATTATGCACATTGCTTTGTTGAGACATCACAGGCAGCATGTGTGTATACATACTGTAATATATGTAATAATTGGTCATTTAGGACTGCTACAGTACTGCTTCCTCTCCTTTCTCTCTGTTTTTCTCACTGTGTATAGTGATGGTTCCTTTCCTAGGTATGATGTGAGTGGGTGGGTTAGGGATGTTTGGCTTCACTGATAATCACTTAACACATATAGAACATGTAAATGTGCTCCCTGCAGTGTTTTCCAGCAGCCACAACCTTTCAGTCACAATGCTGAGATATAATAGTTACAACATTGATAACTGACAGCTGTTCTAAAGCTTTCCATCATTTCACATGATCTTCCTCAGCAGACACTCACTGAATTGCAGATGTTCAAATGTCCACTTTTCTGAGAGAGATATCGATGACAATATGCACTTAGACCCTTTGCTTTAGAGCGTGTTGACCTTGTGATTGACAGTCCGTTCTCAGTGAGTCCGTCCTCGCAGTGCGTCACCTGCGCTGGGTCTGGCAAACCGCCGTGGCGACGACCGCAACGACAAACTCGAGGCTTCAAAACGGGAGTCCACAAACCGATGGGTGACGTCACGCTTGCTTCTGTGTACTACTGGCAGTCTCTGCTGCCAACCTGAACCAGAATAACTAGTTTATTGTAGATAGCTAAATCAGGATCATTAGTCATAACTGTAAGTAAGCTGCTGCATCTCTCATCCACTGTAGTTGTCAGTAGTTACTGTGCATCGTGTGGGAAAAAGTTTGAGACTAGCACAACGGCAGACAGTTTCTCAGATGGTCTGCGCCTCCCTAGCTGCCCGCTCGCCTCTCATGGAGAATGAAAGGCCCGTCGAAAGTTCCCCGTCTGAAAAGACCTAAACAGTGGGTGTGTTTCTCCTTTAGACCAGAAATGTGGGTGCAAAGAAAGCTCCTAAAACCTGAGTAATACAAGCATATTCTGTATCAATCAGAAAATGCTCCATTTGGAATAAAACCTAATTAGGAACATGCTGTTTCTTTATCAAATGTGGAATATTCTGGAAATGAGTGTGCATGTGATCAGTGTGCTGTGTTGTGTGTTCAGACGGGGGCAGAACTCTTGATGGCAGGTATCTGGGTGAATAAAAGCAACCTGAGCCCTGTAAAGAAAAGCAAATGCATCTGAAACCAGCAACTGTTTGTTATTTGATAAAATCCTTAAATTAAAAACTTTATATTTAGCACATTGTAACAGAATGAAGTAATCTGTGAGGGGTCAAAGCAGAATTTAAAGAAATAAAAACATGAATTAGAGGAAGGGTTATAGTTCGAGGTTGACTGTGATTTTTCCACCCTGACATCTTCAGACGGTTTCACTCTGACTCCAACGACTTGAAGCTGCTCTACATAAAACTGTAGCTCGGCGGTTTAAAAAAATTCCCTCCTGAGACTGAACTTTTTCACTCCCTTTCATCAACCACCTCACCGTGATTTCATTCCCCTCCCGGATTGAGCAGAAGGTGCAAAACCTGAATTTGTACGGATTTAAACGAACTGGACGGACTGCGCGTTAGCAAACAAACCTAAATCCCTCGTCCGACCTGCTTACTCATGAAACTCACCCCCACACACACACACACACACACACACACACACACCGTCTCAGCCTCTCCACTTCAGATGCTCCTCTGCTAACTGAACTGAGCTTTCTCATCAAATCAGCGCCGGCATTAATCAGCATATCTGTTTGCGAGACTGGCGTGTGAGTCCGCAGCGCTGCAAGCTCTTCTGTTGCGTAATTTGCTCATTTTTTTTAGAAATTAAAAAGTCATTTGAAAGACGGTTTAACGGAAGTAAACATGACTTCATGCTCCCAATATACAAAAGAGGGAAATGTGACCCCTAAAAATCATCTACATGCAGGTTCCAGCTCATACTCAATACTGTTGTACTGTTAAATGTCAGTAAAACAAGCAACCCTTCATTAAACTCTCTCTCTCTCTCACGCACCGTGCACACAGACAGTGAATCCTTCACAGCGAGCAGCTGCTGGATGCTGCACAGCGCCGCTCTTTTGTGTGTGTTTTACCAGAGAGAGGGGAAGAAATGATTAGTTAAATTATTAATAACTTACTCAGAACGCTGCTTTGTCACTTGACCAGCCCGCCTGAACGCACAATGTTTTCTAACGAGTCGACCCGAACCCGCCTGACCACGAGCCGTGGGTCGATCTCCACTTGCGAGACACATACTCACAAGTGTTGATGATCAGGTGATGGCACCCACGCGGTTGCTGGTATGGGCGTTTCCTGCCAAACAGTGCAGTCAGTGGGTTGGGATCAATAACCTTATTACACATATATATGAGAAAGTATTAAAAAGGCCTGTCCAAGTGTGAGGGTGGTAGCTGGGTCTGATGCAGGTTGAGTCTAAACTGGGTTGTAAGTTGAGCTCAGTGACAATTTGAAGTGAAATGATAGATAGGTAACTTTATTAATCCCACAATGGGGAAATTCACTTGTCAAGAATATAATCACAAACCTGATTTAAACTCAAACATTTAAGCATGAAAAGATATTTGAGTTTTTTTATTGTCAAGATAATTTCTGTAAATGAATTATATTGAAGTTACTTTCATATGCAGCATTTCTCCAAACTTATTTAAAATATGTGAACATAATTGATCTGAATAAAGTCACTTAAATGCTTCTTCTTCAAAAGTTCAAATTCACTGTTTTCTTCCACTAAAGCAAATTATTACTTCACCTGTCAAACAATTTATAATGAATTGCTTATCAAAATAGTAGCCAATTAATGTATTTAATGTGACTAACATAAAATCTTTACACTTTGGGGGATTTATTAAGAAATATTTGGATGCATATTTGGGCTTATGATGATTAAAAAACTGAAATAAAAACTATACAGCGTTATATATAGACACTTTTATAACAATATAAAGTAAACTTTACTTTTCTGAGATTATACCGTCAAAAGTAAGAGTTGCTTCAACAGTTCATTTTTGAGTTGTGTTTAATTAATGTGAACTCCAGTTTGTTTACTTACAAATATTAAAAGTGAGGCTCAGAATAAGTGTGGATAGGGAACAGTATGTCTTTAATATACGTACGTTATAAGGCTTTATGAGCGAACGGCTGTTGGCAAGTTTTTATTTAATACGCTCGTTAATATGGAAACAGATTTCACCCTTGACCTCATGCCCATGCTGTAGTGAGAATATTAGCCAAATCTGAGGCTGTTTTTGTGTATTTATTAGTAAGAGTATATAGATTTTAAACAGGAAATTGCACACTAAATGTGAATCTCTGAGGAGTAAAAAGCAGATAAATCATCTTCTCTCACTCCGGATCCAGACAGGGAGAGCGTTATTCAACCCTAATATACATATTTATGGTATTTTGACTGTGTATGAAGCTTCGGGGGTAGACTCAGGGGGGAGGTAGGAGGGAGAAGCTTGTTCAGACACAGTCTCTCATTCTCTCATGTGCATGTTGTGGATCATCCATTCATGTAAAGAAGTTTTTTAAAAGCTACATCACAAGTTTGGTCATGTGGTACGGTAGCTGCTCGCTGCACAGATCCTGACAGAGATCATTTGCTTAATGAATTCACCACAGTGCTTCCT